AAAAAAACTGAGGTAGAAGGTACTCTAAATGGAAGCTATTCATGGACTTTAAAACTTTAAATTCCCTCTAAACTACGAGTAAGCCTAATGAAGCCGAAAACATTACAATGAAAATCAGCTAAAATTCATATCTAAAACCACTGAGGAATTGCTTCTCCCTCAAAGTAAATCATGTATACTACTAATGATAGCAAATAACTTCAATAAAAAGGATCAGTAGATGGACATAATTTTTCTAATTACCACATAATTATTACTAGAATTGCTTTTTCTATCACTTAAATCCTTCTGTTCTTTTCTCCAACCATGAAGGTCTCTTTTACTAATGGAAAGAGAAAAAAAACAAATTTATCAATGCATGAATATAATAATTATTACGAATCACATTGTTTTCTTTTACGCCAGAAGCAGCTTAAATCACTGCAGATGCAGTTTTCCTTTTTTTTTTCGGTCACCACAGGCTTAAAGAATGTAAGGAAGTGTTACATTGTTGGAGTGGGAAAGAAAATCAGTTGATTCAGGTTTTAGCGAGGTACAAGAACCTGAGGGTTCAAGCAAGCAGGAGTCAGTTTTCCCAAACAAAAGTCAGAGATTTTTACACTACTTCTCAAGTATGAGACTAATTCCAAAAGTTTGATAAGAACTCAATCAAAAGACAATTTCTTTTTCAAGCTTTGTTTTCCGCAAGCTTTCAGTCATTAGTATTCAGAATTGCTGAGGGATATATGATAAATATTTACCTTGGAACGAAAATAGAGAACTAAAGTAGAGGACATAAAAGATCAAACTCCTCATCTTCCCCTGGATGGAAAACGAAAAAAGATGACAATTAAGCTACTATAATCTGAATCTGTTTTTACTAATACAACTCTAGCTTTTCTGTGTTAGAGTAATTGGAAAATTGTGGTACACGATATTTCGATCATTATTTTTATTTAATGACATATACCACACGGCAGCTATGTTTTACAAAAATATTTGTAAAGCGTCTCCACAGATGTCAGACAGATTTTGGCTCCTCGATGTTACGAAGTGTAATAAAACTTAAGCGTTCTCTTTCATTTCTTAATTCAGTCACTCCTTAGCGTTTCGCTTTCTTCAGGGAATACGTTGGACTTATTTTGCGTCACCTTATGACCACTCTGAGTCGATGTTGGCTAATTATAAGGAATGAGTTGAGGGGGTAATTAAAAAAAACTGTGGTGCTTTTTCGGCGAGAAATATACATAATTTGGTTTCATTACCTGATTTAATAATATAAATTGGCCACCGGAAAGAGTTTCAAGGCTGACGTTTCAAGCATTAGCCCTTCGTCAGAGTGAATGGGGAGATTGTGGTTTGTGTGTGTGTTTACATACACACAAACCACAGCTTTCGTTTATACCGATTTGAAATAAATTAATAAAAAAAATGTTTCAGAGTTTTCCGTCTTTGTCCTACTACGTCCTACTTCGCGACTGTGTTCTCAGAATCGGTCACCCAGTGGTCTCCCTGCTTCGACGTGAAATGATCATTGAACATGATGGATCGTTTGTTTTTGCTGTGTTTGAATGAAATAGGTGGTGGTTGCGCCAAAGTAGTACCAGTCTTTGAATCATTTTAAAGAAATTTTAAGTTTTTAAGAATGATGTATTTAACTGATGGCTGTAAGGGTGAAATGTGGGAATGAATTAAATGCAATCGGTAATTTACTTCTGTGACGCGTGTGGTGCTGACAGTCGATCAATTTGTTGGTTGTGGTGGTGGCCCGCTTGAACGACAGAATAGAATAGCTATTGGCACATTGCCTTTGATATGTCGGAAAAATCACAGTCATAACTATATAAAAGACGAAGTCTAACAAACTGAGAAAGGGCAGTGGTCTTCTTAACATGTAATGGATGCGGAGGTGAATATTACAAGTAACTATATAAGTCGGTAGGTTTGTTGTACACACTAGTACATTAACCTTCGCATTTAATTAAAACTTTCATTTCTAAAAAGGCCAAGAAATGTCGGAAATTTCCTAGGTGTATTTTAGACAAGGAATTGACTGCGGTTATAAATTGCGGTAGCACCGATATACACTTCAATGTAGCGACGTAGAGTTTAGGTTTGAGGCCGTTGTATTAACCGAAAAATTGGCGTTCGATAAGACCTACGAAAATATTGGCTTTAGCTGGTTTCATTGTTACCCATTCTTTTTTTTTGTAATAGTTGTCCCCGAATGAAAAGCAAGTGTACATAAGCACTGTTTCGGCTAAGCTGATTAGTGTTTAAGAACTAGGTCCCATAACGGTACGAAGAGGTTAAGTTGCGCTTCCAGTTCCGCCAATGTCATATATAGCATAACTTGCACTTATTGCAAAAAGATATACATTGATGACACAGAACGGTGACCAGGTGGCCAATTTCTAAAACGCATCCAAACGAGTTGCTAGACACTTTAATCTTCCTGAACGTTCCAGGAGTCACATGGCAGTCTACGGCCTTTCCCTATATCTAGGCAGTTCGGAGGGGGGCACAACTCTAGAGCAAAAAAATTATCTTTCAAATTGGCACTCTTCATCCCCACAGTATTAACAAACGCTTTTTATTCACTCTAATATTCCTTGTCACCATGTTCTCACCTATAGCGCATCTCCATTTTCCACATATAAACACTCACACAACCTAAATTCCTCCATTCGCTCTGACGTAGGGCTGACGCTCGAGGCATCAGCTTTGAAACTCTTCACGTGGGTCAGTTTAAATTATCAACTCGGTCGATAAACCCAAGTTATCTGATAATAAGGAATGTTACCTTCCTCTTCCGTGTCCATGTCAGGCTCAAGCTCAAGCACTTTCTTGTCTTCTTCTTCGACGTTTTCAGCTTTTTAAGAAGATAAAGCATTTGATAAAATGTACATTAGTTTCAGTCGTTCAATCTTGCTTTGACTTGAGCATTTTAAGAAGTCATCATCTTTTTTCTCAGGGACTACCAAGGTAAAAGATATGCTTCAATAATTCATCTAGCGCATTAACACCTTGGGTAACCAATCAAAATCTCTATATCCTTTACCTTCGTCACTTGGCATCGGAATCTCTTCACTCTCCACCTGCTCCTTAGATTCTGTGTGATAGCAAGGTTGTTAATTATAATGAGATATGAGTACTTTAAGGGAAACGTATAGAATGCATTATAGTAACTGTCAGTGTTGCTGTGTAGGCTAACGCATATATAATACCTATCAAATATAATAAGTGGTCTTCATAATAAACCCGGCCCATGGTCGAAGCCACCAAATTGGCTCATTTAGCTGTAAAGGTTAAAAAAAATTAAAGCAAAAGAAACTGAACCGTATGAAATTTACCTTCTTCAATTGGCTGTTCAGGCTCACGCTTTTTCTCTCCTTTCTGACCTGGAGAAACACATTTTGAAAAAAATTAGTAATCGAATACTTGTAAACTTGAAACTAAGCACATTATGGCATTATGAGTAAGTAATAAGATGATTAAAAAACAAATGACATTTGTTGAAAATTTTTCAACTCTTGTATCAATAGCTATTAAAGATATTCACTAGGTATTGCGCAAGAGTCTTCTACCCTAAACGGGCATGAGGCAGGTGATGTTTGGTGCACTTGCGTGTAGGGCATGAATACGTCTAATTTTGTCCAATTTCCCCCACTCTGTCTTTTTAAGTTTGCAAGAGTCATTATTTTCAGTTAATGAGGAAAGACTTTTTTGACCTTAAAGGAGATGGTGACCACCTAGCTTCTTCTATGAATTCATTCAAGAGACTGAAATAGAATCTTTTTTGTATAACATACAAGGATATATAAATAAATATACCACAAGCCAGTTTTGTGGAACCAGCCAACACTTTGGGTTGTACGAGGCTCTTCTTAATTTATTGTTTGGTAGACTTACATAGTTTGTTTAAAAGTTCTTTACCTTCGACAGTCTTTTCAGTGACTGGTCGGATGTCAAAATCATCCTCATAATCTGTTTCAAAAGAACAAGTAGAGTAAACCATGCCATGATGCTTATGTTATACAGCTCACATTATTTCACATGTGTAAGTTTATGCGCATGATAACGTGTATTTGAAATCACACTTTTTCAAAAAACAGTTGATGTCACTCAATGCTTTCTTTCATTAACTCCCACCACATCATTTCTTGCTCAGCATCTGGCGATTCTCAGGAACAATTTTAAACAGCCGTCGAAGTTACAATTTACAGTTGTAATGATTACAGTTCTACTCTTGTGAATAAAACAGTTCTGCATGACTTGTTTTAATATTTTTGAATAAAAAAAAAACAAAAAAAAACATAATAATAGGCGGGGAATTTTATTTCAATTAATAAGACATTTTACCGGAAGAAGATGGGGTCTCATCCCCTCCACAGGCTTGTTCCATAGCTGTCGATGGACCAAAAAATTATTTTCCAGTTTAAGTTATTTACCTCATAGTAGAACCGCAAACTTAAATCATGGAATGATAATTGTGAATACTTATTAGTCATTAACTAGAGCTCTGTCGTATGGGAACCAAGTGAGGTTCAGAAAGTGCGTAAGGAGAACTGTCTCCAGAATTGTTGAAGGTAACTTAAGAAAGACCAAAGGAGTTAGTTTTATTATAGGTTTTTTCTTTCAGAAATCAGCCTATCGTGATTACATTAAAATTCATGGCGTTTATGTCATAACGGGAAGCCCTTCCTCTATTTTTCTTTTCTCAAAACGAATTATCGGAAGAGGAGCAGAGTGGTATGTTTCCATTTATTTATTTTAATCAGGAAGAGTGCCAACATGTGGTAGATGATTTAATTTAAATATATACACGTACCATGCGAGTTGAAAACTATGAAATCAATCACATATTACCAAAATCATTTAAAAAAAAGTACATTCATACCCACGATATAATACCTACGAGTACTGAGACGAATAATTTGCTTCAGAGGTTTCCCATTTGATTACCCACTTAGCTAATTGCGGAATGATGTTTCAGTGAAAATAAGTATACGGATGGAATACTGACCTGGTTGCAGAAAAGGCGATTCAGGAGCTTCCACTTCCGGGATTTCGTTGTGCTCTATTTCTTGCATTTCAATCTGCTCTCCTATGGGAAGAAAATGTGGGAAAAAAGGGAATAAAAAGGAAAAGAAGAAACAAGGGAAAATCATTATACATTGAACACTACCAAGTTGGAGAGAAGTCATTTAATTTTTAATTACACAAGGAATCACCATATATTACCCTCTTCGTTGTTGGCGTGTTCTTCATTCATAATCTGTCCCTGCTGATCATTTCCTGCTTCCGCTATGTAACAGAACAAAAACAACAAAAAAACAAAAAGCAAAAAAAATTGTCTTAAACTTTTACAAACAAAGATTAAGGCTTATCCAAACATCAGTTTAAAAAGTCATTCTTCAAGTCAGATCTGCATCTTTAGAAGCTTATCCATCTATATTTTGAAAATGGTTCACAGTTTTACGCTCACATTCTATTTAAAAAAGGTTTAATTTACAAGTGGTATCCATTTGCCCCAATATTGCTTGGTTCAGAGATCTGGTGCCTAAATTACGGCGCGAGAAAGGTGAAGTCTATCTCATCGGTATGAAGAATAATTAGCGAAAGTTTCTTGAATTCATTGTTGGAGAGTGAAAAAGTATTTGTGGGAGAGAGGAACTGATAACATAGCTAACAAATTCAAGTTCCCAAATTCAACAGCGTAAGCGTGCTTCATAATCCTATTGTACACGCTAATGACGTCAGCAGACATATGCCTCCAGATTGAAAATTTTCCTCAGCGATTGAATGCGAACTTGCGGACGAGTTTGGCTGAGAGGTTTTCAAGAAATTTATCCTTTCCATCCCGATTGAGATAGACCTTTAAAAGCTCTTATTGAAAAGTAAATCTGTGGAAGGATACTCGTTTGGGAAGCGATGATCTTTTAAGTCTTAAAAGCGATGGCAAGAGCTCTCGGGTGAGCAATACTACGATTCCCAAACACGATCCGAATCATGGATGGAAAACGAAACTGAATTTGCTGAAAACAGTCGACTTCGCTATCTTGGGGCATTCTTTTGCTCGTTAGATATATTTTTATAAGTGTTAACATACCTGAAGTATTCTGCAAAGGAAGATTTTGTTTTAGATGTGATAACTTTTGAACACAACGCTTCGCAATATTCTGGCCATGAAGTCAAGTAAACGGCGATCCCAGAAATGTGAATCTTTAACGCGGGTCGAACATACGCAAGGAAATATGATTCTTTTCGGCAATACATAGCGTACTTGGTATTTATTTGAATGAAGCGTTTCTCTCTGATATTTTTACGTCTTTTTTGGACTTACCTTTCAGTTCACGTTCATTGGGCAAACCCGACGTATATAAGAAGTGACTTTGAAATCTGATTGCCAAGTATGCACTGCGAATTTTATTTTAAAAATTTTGGTTTCTGAGTACATTATAACAAAAAACTGTCAAATTTTTTTCTAGCTTGGGGATAGGTTTTTGAACTTATCTAGTTTCATTAGACCTTGTGATTGTTCAAAGACGACTTATTTGAGACTAACTGCGCGCTGTATTTCTCGAAATTTTCCCAAATTGTAAGAAAACAACATGCAACATAATGCGTTGACAATGTTATAAAACAATTGGTTGATACTTCAGCTGTGCATTCGTGGGATATGAAGCATTTAGGAAGTTTTGATAAAACCCAAGAAACTAAAGTTTCGGCCGTTTCTACCGCTTGTTGCGCACTATCTTTACATTGCACAATAGGTTGCATATGCAATCCAAACTTGTGATGAACCGACAGATTTCTTCTTCCGGCTGGTGACCTTGAAGTTCTCCACACTTCTAGTCTTGCAAATTACAGATTTCCAGTTCGCAAATGAAAGATTTTGAGTTCTTTTCACAAATGACAGAATTTGCATTTCGTTTCATATCATTTTGTTTTATTTTGCCTAATACAGTAACCCCCCGCTACGAATCAGCAGGAAAAAAACAGAATGCATCCCTCGCGCATAAATCTAACAGCTCTATATTTTTTTACTTTGCCGCCATATCTCTCCCACAAAAAAAAAAATAAAAATGAAATAAAATAAAATTGACTGTCCCACTTTGAAGTTCGAAAAATTTTCGCTGATTTTTACTACCTCGGTTTTTCCTCTTTATACCGATGACAGTTCATTCCCGCGCCGAAGTTGCGGCACTTTATCTCTGAACCGCTATAACTCGGAATAGCTCATGAACATTAAATTATGATTTCTAATCGGGTCGTTTCTCCTATTGACATTATAAATTTAGTGCTTAGTCCCCATTTCTTCCCACAGTTTTAGTCACTCTCTTGCATTAATTTCTTTTCTTGCCGGCCTCTTCTACAATACGTTCTGTTCTTTACGAAAACCTGTTATAACATTTTGTTTATTATGCCTTTGATTTTAAAAATTTTCTTTTTGTCTGTTTGTTTTCGTTTTCTGTTTTTTTTTTTTTTGGAAAGCAATGTTTGTTTTACCATTTCACACCACTTTCACCCTCATCTCCTCCAAGGCCTTATTATGGTATATATAAATGCACCGTACCGTCTTGATTTTGTCCACTTCGGAAAATAGATCGAACATTGAACCACAGTTTCCTCAGTTTTGGTTTCAACACAGCTTGCACCTATACATTATCAATTTATGCGGCAGTTAATGAAAGAGATATTTACTAAATTGCATTTAAATTTAGGTTTGTCTCCATGCTTATAACCAACAGTGAAGAAGTAAACAGAAAAACTGTGCTTCTCCACTTCTGGGGTACTTCGCGAAAAATATACAAAAACAAACTTTTATCGAATGTAACTTGAGGGTCTCAAAATATAATTTGTCAGTCGTAATAAGAATAAATTTTAAAAAGAGAGAGGTTGCCTTTGAGTGAAAGTATCAAAATTTCTGGAAAACAGTGGTGATAATCGATCTGTGTTTGTTTCAAAAATCATTTCGCAGGGGTGTCTGTTAAGACTGAAAATGACCGTGTATCGTATTTCAAAGCAAGAGAAAACTGTTACCTGTGGAGTAGAAAGCGTGTACAGCAGTGGGTTGATAGCTGAATTGATCGGCAAGGCGAACACTGCAATCCACACTGCCAGATCACCAGGTGGATCAAACGTTTTTTCGACGTGCGACTTGATGCCGATAGCAATGATTGGTATCCAACACAGGAAATCGGTCAGAATAATGAAGAAGACTCTTTTGGCAAGTGCTCTTTCCCTTTTAGCCTGTGCACTTTGTGCTCTTGCTCGTATTTCACGAACAGTTCCATGCGCACCCAGCCGTCTGCTCGACGACCATGATTTCAACAAGATGGCAAGATAAGCAATCATAATGAAGATGAAAAGAGAAAAATTGAAAATGATAAAGATGGAAGTGGAGAATTCCCAGCCTTCTTGTAACTGCGGGGAAAGTTGCAGTGGCAGGCACACCACGTTCTTGCCATAATACCAGTCACCAAAGTATCGCATTCCAGACAAGGGAAGGAATGCCATAATGCCTCCCACCAGCCAGATAACTGCGCACATAATACGGGTCTGCCTTGGTGTAATTTTTGCAAACGTGTAAGGAAACACAATGTTCTTGAGCCTGTCCCATGCAATCAGAGAAATCATCATAACAGACACCTCGCTTGAAAGGACAGACATGGCGCCATTGAAAGGGCAAAACCAGCCGGTGCGCCACTCATAGTCGTGCAGGTAGTATTCCCCTGACCATTGCAGGTCTTTTATACCTATAATGATGAGGTAAATACCCATGATGCCGTCTGAAATACCCAGATTTACCAACATAATAGACTGAACCATATTGTTATCAGGGAGGAAATACTGCCACCCAACTACAAACACAGACCCAAACAACGAAAGAAGGCCGACAACCCAAAGACTTCTCCTTGGAGCAAGGTTGCGGAACATGGAGTGACAGCTTGCGAAGTTATCATTGAAGGCAAATTCGCAATCGGCATCCTGCCTGAAAAGATCAAGGTGGCAGCACATCAGGTTGGTGTCCAGAGTTCTGGAATTAGAAAAAGAAGGGGAAATTAGAAAGGGTACATCGTTAGAACAATGAGAGCAAAATAATAAAGATCATCGAAAACAATCGGCAAGAAAATAGTGATCTATGTTGAGGCAAAGATGATTGATAAGCATTTTTTCATAAATTAATAGCAATTAGAGAGCCTCGCGAAGCATACCATAGGCAATGGTATTTAATATCTAAATGAGGCTTCATATCATTTCAGTATTGGAATAGATAGAAGATGTTGGCATTAATGAAAATTTCTCGATCAACTGAACCATAACAGACTGAAGGAAACAAAATTATTAAAATGGTTGCATCACCCACATTACAATTTGAAAATAATTTCTATTTTAAAGGTAATTCAGACAACATCCGCCCCAAATCTCCTATTAAGCCGTCGAGTTAAATTATTATAATGGAGTATTACACTCTGATAATGTGCGGCAGAAGCCCAAAAAAGCCTATGGGGAGCTCAGCCATCAGGTTGTAGTGCATGAACCTGCAAATTTAAATAGAAGGTGAAAATAAAGTTAGATTATAATAAATTGTATATCTCATTTTCCCAAGCCTTTCCTTTGACTTTAACTAATTAAAAATTATACCCAATTAACTATAATACTCTAAATTAACTTCACACCTGCATCTTATCCGATTGCAATACATGTGGCTCTATTGTAGGTACCGTGATAAAGAACTGCCATTTGCAGTGAACTTACAAAAATCGCAGTTCCCGGGCATGACTGAAAGTCGTGCTGGTGACATTTTGTATTTTATTGCCAAAGATACTTCTGTAAAAAGTAATAACATATTTATTAACTAGCAGATGGTAATCAGGTTCTTGCATTGTCTGATTCTTAAAAATTACACCTGAAATTGCCTTATCATAGTTCTCCACTATGTTTGTTTGATTTTTTGATAATATCCACCTTTGCTCAATAAAACCATGTTTATAGCAAGCCACCCTTTTTTTCGTCAAGAAAGTAGATAGTAATAAAATTTCGCTGTTGAGCAATACAATTTACACCACGCCTGTTGGAGATCATGTTAAAATTTTCAAAAAAGAATTCCATATTGTGCATCTTTCTGTTATGTACATTTTCATCTTTTAAAACAATTAACGCTTTCCAAACTATTTTGTGTTTTCCAAAATAGCCTATTTTTTGATAAATCAATAGTTTTCCTCTGCACGTTTAGGAAAACTAGCAAAATTAATCAAATTTCGCGGATAAAATCTTAGAAAGATTAAAAAATCTTATTTTCTCCTGCAAGATTGAGCATGTCTGTAAAAAACAATGTGTTAAGAGTCAACCATGGAAAGATGCAGAGGTAATCTGCAACCACTCAGGAAATGGATATTATAGGAATTCTGCAACCACTCAGTCACTAGATGTCACAGAAATTCTGCGACCACTCAGCCACTAGATGTCGCAGAAATTCTGCAACCACTCAGTCACTAGATGTCACAGAAATTCTGCATTCACTCAGTACCATGTTGTCGCAGAAATTCTGCGATCACCCAGTCACAAGCTGTCGCAGAAATTCTGCGACCACTCAAGCACTGGATGTCGCAGAAATTCTGCGATCACCCAGTCACAAGCTGTCGCAGAAATTCTGCAACCACTCAAGCACTGGATGTCGCAGAAATTCTGCAATCACCTAGTCACAAGGTGTCGCAGAAATTCTGCGACCACTCAAGCACTGGATGTCGCAGAAATTCTGCGATCACCCAGTCACAAGCTGTTGCAGAAATTCTGCAACCACTCAAGCACTGGATGTCGCAGAAATTCTGCGATCACTCAGTCTCAAGTTGTCGCAGAAATTCTGCGACCCCTCACTAAAAACTTGTTGCAGAAATTATGCAACCACTTAACCACTGGGTGTCGCAGAAATTCTGCAATGACTCAGTCACAAGTTGTCGCAGAAATTCTGCAACCACTCAACCACTGGATGTCACAGAAATTCTGTAATCACTCAGTCACAAGGTGTCCCAGAAATTCTGTGACCACTGAAACACTGGATGTTGCAGAAATTCTGCGATCATTCAGTCAAAAGTTGTCACAGAAATTCTGTAATCACTCAGCCACTGGATGTCACAGAAATACTGGAAACACTCATCAAGTGATGAATACAGCCATTTAGCAATCTTACTAAAACCAGTCAATAAAAAATTCCACAACATTTGGTCAGTGATCCTCAATCACTCTATGATTTACAATAATTAAACTATCAAATGGCACATCTTCATAAATGTGGTAGTTATACTAATCTGTTAAGGAAGTAAGAAATACAATAAACAGTTCAAGTCACGTCCCTTTATTGCACGATCAGATAAATGAAATGAAAAAATATAATAAATCCAATGACATAACATTTTGAGATCTATCACACAAACAATTTGATTCCACTTTAAAAGAGGAAAATATAATCTGTTATACTGCCATTCCTTTGAACTATCTCAAAAACATATGTAAAAATTACAACTAATAAAAAATGTCTTATTTTTATCTTGCATTTACCCTACCCTGTAATGAAAGCCCTTGAGGCCTTATGGATGGAGAGTTAAGTTACAATAAATCCATGCTACATTTCAGTAGTTTCAATATACGGTGGCTTAGAAGATTCGACATCGAGGGAAAAAAATTTTGGTTTCTTATATATCTATATATATGTCCTACCTACGGCCTCGAGATGAGAGACTCGGGTTGAAATCGATTGCTAAATAAACATCCATAAATAAATATATTTTCCTCACAGAGTGGCAACTGGATACGACTCGATCGATAAAAGACTTCATCGATGTAGGTGGATTCATTTACCACATCTTGCTGAACAGTGTCAAAGCAAAAAGAATACCTAGCTTTGAACTTAACTCGACTCTGTAACTTATAGAGAATTAATTGTAAACTCCACATAGGCAGAGACCACTGAGCAACACACAAGTCATTAAGCCGCAATTCCAGTACATGCGTGTTCTAAAGCAACGTTACTACGCATGTGTTACGACACTCTATGTAATTTTACACAACGTGCTAAGCCCAATTTCAGAAAGGAATGGCGTAAAGGAAAAAACTCAGGATTGAATTGTCCTCAAAGCAACATATCTTTCCTTGAGAAATTTTCTTGTTGATGGCATTAGCTTGTTGTCTTCCGTAAGCTCAAATGAACTGCACACTATACAGCTCTTAGGAAGGATCTCCACCCATGGTCTGGATTTTTGTCGGGGAACATGCTGAGGAGTCCACTTTCCACAGTAAGTGCCTTTCCAGTAATGCACCTTAAAATTGTCCTCCTCGACGGCCAGGACCTTGCCAATGCAGGGCAGTTTATCGTAATTGGCGAAGTACAAAGCCACAAAGCAGCTGACTTGAAGAGTAGCGAGGAAATCGTCTACCATTTCAATAGGCGCTTCCCTTTCCCTCGGGGTCCTGTAACGGCCTGTGTAAATCTGAAATATTCAACAGACATTTCATTAGAATTTACTTGTTTAGGTGAGCATTTCGACTGAGATGTATCAATTATCAATTGTTCTTATCATTTTATTCTTTGATTAATTATAAGTAATGGATTATGTGACCGTGTCATATTCTATTAGTGCAATTTGGTGTGAATAAGCACAAATAAGTTTCCAAAGACAACAAAATTTTTGCACGAGTCCGAAGGGCAAGTGCAATTTCGTGGTATTTGAAAAATTACAAGTGCTTAGTAGACCAAATTGCAAGAACAATGTGCAGACAAAATTTTGAAAGTGTGTTTGCCCTATTTGTAATTTGCACTCATGTTGCAACTTTGCATTTGTGCTACATGAGAATTGGCTTGTTTTCAGCCAATCAGAAGCATGTAATTTTATCATGTACATTATTATATATCTAAAGTTGGACTTGTATAATCTATAACTGGACGCAGAAGGGGTTAGAGGAATGGACCCCTCTAATTATTTCTCTTTTATATCTGTAGGACCATTTGAAGGCTTGGCTTTTTAGTGTCCACTGCTGCATTTTAATTATTATTCACCTCTGTGATAGGCTGGATCTCTTTCTCTCTGAGCTCTAAAAGTTCATGAGGGAGTTCAGCATTTGAGGCTAAAACAGTCCTTGAAGTATTCTTCAATTCATCCACTGGCCAAGTGTAGTTGTCAGGTACTGATAATAGATTAAACTCTGTATTTGCTAACCAGGATTCCCACTCTTCAGATGCTTTTAAGGGCATATTCTTGGGATATTTGGTGGGAATATCTCTCTTCAATCCCTCCATGTCCAGTTTATGTAGGGAAGGAGTCACAGTATTTGGCTTTCCAGAGGGTAAACTCTAGTATAGCAAAAAAAGGCAACAATGAATTTGATATATTAAATCTCACAAGGCAGCCAGGTGAACAATCAAACATGGTTTGATTTTATTCTGGTTTAAATATTAAATAATTGTAACTTATCTGTTAAATTCAACAAAATTAATCTTTAAACCAGAGTAGCATCAAACCATGTCTAGCAATGTATTTGTTGGCTCAAATTTCCTTGAGAGACAATAATAAGGGCTTTCTCTTTCCATTTAATTCTTCTTTGACTTGTACACATTATGATCCCAATCTTAAAGACAGGGAAAAGCAGTGAGATACATTTTAAATTGAGGATCAATTTAAACCCAGCATATTCTTAACATGTAATGTCAGCAAACATTCAGTTATTTGGAGCATTAATGTTATTTTTCAGGCCTACAAATTGTCAGTGCCAATGCTACTTCAGAAAACATCAGGTAAGCTTTTAAGTTACTATTTTAACTATGACTCAGGAACCACTAATTAAGAATTTCATGTGCTAACCTTCAGCATTGCAATGGGCTCTTTCCATGGCTCATGGCTCCAATTTCTGTAGTGCATAACTGCTTTTCCATCCTTCATTCAATGTAAATTTAAAGCACTTTGGAACTGTGTGTTCATGTAACTCCTCACAATAATCACTAATCCATGATTTTATGTCATAAACCATCTTGAGCATATAGGGCTTGGGTGTTGGATTCTTCATGCATGTTTCCAGTGCCTTCAGTAATTCTAAGTGACAGTGAAGTGTAAAATAAATTAAGATCTTACATGTACTCTGTAAATAAGCATTTACACCAAATTTATAACATGTCAATGTCACATTTAATCTGTTAATTCAAGTGGAAGTGTTCATACTTTCTATAGACTAAATTTTGAACCATGCTCTTGCCTCGTGCAGAAATTTGTTTGATCACAGTGCTAGTTGCTATGTATTTATATTGATAGATAACTTATGTGAATATTTGCCACACAAGATTATCACACTGCACAGGCAGTTTTGATTGTTGAACCTCTCAGTTACTCCAACTGTACCTTGAAGTAATTACTTTATGTTAGAACAACTTACCTGTGACTGTATAAACATCCAGTTTGTCTAAGTGCTTTGAATAAACCCCAAAAAAGGCATCTATGTCCTCATGGGTATGTCCCACTGGGAGAAAGTTAACTCTTATCTGAAATACAAGAAGGGAAAGTGGTGCTGTTTTTTTTAAATTTCAACTTCAGGTTACATTCCTTCAGTAGTTGCAAAAATTGAGATTGAATGGAAACTAACTTCCCACCCAAATGGACCTTGAAAACATTGCAATGGGACATTTTGATGCTTGAACAAAGTGCCTTGTGGGAAATGTGAATAAGGCAAATGCATTTCTTTTAAAATTACCCAAGATAACATACTTTTTCAAAAATTTTCTCTTCAACCAGAAGTGCCAATAGAGCAAACATGTAGCGGTTCTTGTTTTCTCTAACACAGTTATCAAACTGCAGATAGAGAATGGGTGGTAGGTCAAATTCCTCCGACCATCTTACAAGGACTTCCAACAGAACTGTCATAGTGAGATTAGAGTCATGAGGATACTGGTAGTAGTCAAATGACCCATAAATCTCCTTTCCATTTTGTGCTTGTCCATTGTGAATAATGGAACCAACAAGGTGTGTTCCCACAGTCGTAAGTGCAGACATTGCCTTGGTAATTCGGCGCACACTTGGGACATTTGTGGTGTGTTGGTCCATACCATCAGCAATATTTGCCACATACTTTGATGGGTACCTCCTGGCTTTATACCTGTGAAGATAGTACACCCTCCTTTCCTGCCTAGTGATATAAGGAAAAATTATTATTAGTTCTTAAGACCAGAAGACTAGTGAATTGCTTTTGATGTGACAGATTTTTTGTTCATCAAACTAACTGTACTTTTTTAAACATTTCTCTCACCAGACTAAATCAAGATGAAGCTTCAGCAAGTGATCAATTTCAGCCCTTCTGGCTTTGTCCACAGTTTTCTCTTTCTCCTGCTTGTATTTTGTGCAGTCTGTGCATTTTGTAAAGCGATTTTCCTAGAAGATTCAAATTGATAGATCATTTCTGCATGTATGAGGTATAACATGAAAAAAAACTAGGCATGGTTCATCTCAGCAGTTTACAGACCAAACAAAGCCACAAAATAAAACTTTTTTCACTCATGATTGTTGGATAAGAGGTGGTCATGACCTACTGGGCCCCCTATTTTGCTATCTAGGTTTCCATATTTAACACATTTTCATGTTCTCTTTGGGTACCATTGTCAAATTAATGTATTGGAACAGCAATGATATTATTACATAAATGGTTTGTAAAATACACACACCTGTAAGTGTTAGTCATCATCATACTGAAAACTATTGCATATTTGATGCCACTTACCTTGGGAATGGTGACATGAAGAAAATTCCTTTCCCATAGGCCATAAAAATGAGAAAGGGATACTGTTGGCTGACTGAGTGCTTTATTTTCCTCCAGCATTTTTTTGTAAATGTCACTTTTAGTAAAGCATGTTGGTAAATTGATGCCACCATTGTCTGGTTGGTGGTCCCCTACACAGCTAACAAAAAACTGCAACCAGGCAATGCAATCTGCAGTCTTGCTAGTGATTGACTTCCTTCCTTTATTCCCATGCTCCAGCACATTTGCACCATCTTTAAATTTTCCCCAAATTCGTCTAAAGGTTTCCTTATTTAAATTGTGTGCAAGAAGCCATGCTTCCCTACACACAATCTTTCCTTTTACATAAAATTCAGTTTGTAGTTCATTGGAATCATCAGAGCTACTGTGTTGATGCAGGTACTCTAAAAAATAGTTTCGCTTTCCTGCCTTTTTCTTTGCTTCAGCATATCTTATGTCTTCTACAGACAGTTGCCTCATGCACTTTTTTGCGCAACAGTTAATGGAAATGATCCACAAAATTTCCTCGTCTCGTCTAGCAGATAAATCTAAATTTGAGAAAAAATTATGGGACCATATTAAATGGAAATTAAAACTTGTTCAAGTCTTCGTTGAAAGTATAATCACTTAAGACGAAGGTAACCTTGAATTTTGATCAATAACATTGATTAACTTGCCCTTTGCGCAGTAAACGAACAAAAGCGTAATAAAACAAGCCAATTTATTGTATTACATTGTATTATTACATATGTTTGATAATCTAAATTACGACAAAGATAGACCCAACCGATATCCCTCGTATTTTACGGTGAGAGAAATGCAGCATGTCAAGGCTTTAGAGCTGTTAATAATGTATTATTGTTCTGCTTTTTTTTTTTGGTAATCATAATCTATTTTGCCTAAACCAAGTATCGAATGGTGATGATGTTCCCTCATTATTAAAGTCAAGGTATGGGAATGATTTCATCTCAACAATATCTGGTCTGTATTTCCTTGTCTGATCCTCTACTTTTACGAAAGGATTGCGAAGTGCATGAACAAGGCCCATTGTATTGATCCTAATTTGTGCACCCAGCCGGATTGGTTTATATTGGTATTCTTCCATGCAAGACACTAGATCAGTATATTTTAAGATTTTTATGTTCCAAGTAGACGCAATTTTAAAAACGGAAGACGATCCTCTTATTGCTGGTACTTTAGTAGTTGCAATTCCAAGCATCAGAGAGCTTCGTTTTTCATTGGAGATTTTTAGCTTATTGCGAAATGACTTTTTCCCAGTTTCCTCTCGATCAGTTATGATAAAATCCACGTGTTTGTTAAGAAATGACTTCACAGTGGCTGCTGCTATGTTCGTAAGCCACTGAAAGATGTACGACTTATTTTCTGATTTTGATAGGTGAAGGAAAACATTTTTCCCTGTGACACTTGAAATGAGCCAATGATGATCTGAAAGTACAATGAATGTGACGAAAAGTTAAAGCTTCTAGGGCCAAATTTGCTTTTGCACGCTTGAGCAACTTGTAGAGGCCGTTGACTGCCTGCTTGTCTGTTTCACTTTAATGTAATTGTGTGTTCGATGTTACTTTTTACGCTGTGTCTTAATGTCCGGCAGTCGGAAATTTTCATACAATTGCTACTGAAAGGTCCTTTCAAACTTCGTTAGAGTACCAGATGTTTGTTCAGAAATGTCAAGCGACTCCAAAAATTATTTTGATTCTCAAGGGAACGAATTTTCCGAGCTTGTACATACCTTAAAATCACTAGATTATCGACACTTTGCAGAACTCTGACCTTAAGATTTCATGGTATACAGAAACTTGGAAAATAAATCTACTAGAAGACCAAAATGACTGTCTTTGGAATTTCTTACCATTGATGTCAGCGGAAAAAAAAAATTGGCTTCTTATTTACCTGGAGGTGCACAATCTGGTTCACATTTTTCTGTTTCTAGAACTTTCAAAGAGGAATCCGCATCGTGGAGAGAATCGCAGGAAAAATCTGTGTCAGATAAGAAAACCGACATTAGATTTACGAAGTTGTAGCAAAAACAGAATAAAGGGCTACAGAAGTCCAACTCGTAGGCATGCTTTGAAGAATGAGGCAGAACACAAAAGGATGTGTTGTGATTCATCGAGAGGTAAATGAGTGGCCTTGTACTCTGTAGTTTTGCTGTATTTTCTCGATTAGTGGACCCTTATGCACGGGTTAAAGTCAACTTGAAAGTATGTAGTGTGGCTTTGTGATGCGGTCGGTTGTCTGTACAGTTAGAAAAAATTGTGATTTCAGTGATTCGATTACGCGGTGATCTCTGTTGTGGCCGGATAATTTTTTCAAAGGTGTTGCTTTTCTCAGAGATCAAAAACGCCCCTCTTTCGAGCTTCACTATAAAATTTGAAAATCAAAATTTCCTCACCCTGCGGCGTTTCGTCATGCCCCAATGAAGTATCGGCATCGTGAAGAGAAATACTCGTAGCATCTGTGATAAGACAATAAGTCGGCGTCGTATGGTTAACGTTGACACTCATGCATATAATTTTTTCCGAATATGAGGTTATTTTACAATTAACAGTTAAACTGGATCTAGGTTTACGTTTTTCTTGAAATAAATGGATTTACCGTTGAAAGCATATCACACAGACTTTGGTTATATAGCCTGCGAACCAGTATTTTCTTCTCCGCGCAAGAGAAGCAGGAGAAACAGTAAGACTCACAATACGCGCGTTCAGCTAGATTCTGCGACACCAATCCGTGATCAGTTAGGGGCTTTAAATTACATTGCACATTTATGATCTGTCCTCAAACCAATCTTAAGTTAAAATTAAATTTGTGGTGTTAATGAAAAATTCTTGAGACTGGATTGACTGCGTATTTAGTATTTACATCTTCTTGAACTCAAAAGAGCCAAGTTCATTACCTGTAGTTTTGGAGGCACTGACATCTAAATCAAGCCACGCTGTTTCGCTTTCTTGTAAAGTTTCCATTTCTAATTGACTCTCGTTAACCGGGATTATTTCCTCATGAACAAGGGGGCTTGCACTCAAAAGTTCGCTTGAATTATCCAAGTCAACCCACTCAGGTTCATTGGGAAGTCTTCTCTTTTGTGGTGATCCCAAACTACTTAAATCGGTGTCTGAATCATACAAATCAATGAGGCTTGCAGAACTAGACGATCTTTTTTCTGGTGTACTCGCTAAAAGCGGTTGGAACATTTTTGTGCTAGGTGTACCAGATAACTCCACGCAGGGTCCGACAAGAGCACTAGAGGTATACCTTTGATATGGACGAAACAGACAAAAGCCCAATTCTACGATTACATTAGATGTTGATTAGACGGATGTATGCGGTTTTTAAAATAATGGGTAGATATTACTTTTGTCTTGCCTCGGTTGAATTACACAGAGGACAGCTTGCGAATTATAGTGGAGATAAAGCCAGATCATGCTCTCAGAAATGGTAAAAACATTATCGGCTCCTATATTTTCCTGTGTTGAGCGCATTTGCATGGGACATTAAATACTTTTACCGCGGGAGGCTGCATTAACTGAGAGTATTCGACACTAACCGAGCCTGGTGCTTACCGTGGTAAAGATTTCCTCTGGTAAATATCCGTGGATATTTCAGAGAGATCAAAGGAAGCGAGGCGGTTTTTCTTGCTTTGTTTTGCACCGTAGAACAATAGCCAAACTGTTTAAAATCAATACTAACACGCTAATGGCTTTCGTTCGCAAGTTTCGTTCACCCGATTTCTCGCCTCTAAATTTTGCTTTTAAAACCAGAAAAGGCATGGCGCTGTCGAGCACGGTATACGTATACTTCACCAGTAGACCTAACTTTGATTCACTGCGGGATGATCTACTGAAAATGTCATTTACTGTTGTGTGTTTAGCCGCACCGGTAATTGTCAGATGAAGAAAGGAAATGAAACACTTTTTCTTTCTTGAGAATAAAGGTAAAGAAAGGCCGGCACGGACTCCCCATGAGGCTTTCTTGGTCGCGTCGTATTATCGCCTTCAAATTATACTTTTGCTTTCACAAGCATATCTTTTGAGGGATTTTCCCTATTTGTAAGAGATGATCAGAGGTTTTGTAAAATTGTTTTCAGCAAGGGCTGATTGTGTATCAGACTCAATGTTTCATCAATATTATGATTTAATTTTTGACCGTCTGGTGGCACGTTGTGACAAAAGGCAACAATCGTTCGTGACCTTTTGGCTTTTGTGTACGTGAAAGGGCCGATTGTTGACCCCGACAGAGTCCTTCCTATGATGTTTTCTGGGTACCCTCATGCTTTGAAACGTTGTTTGAATTTCAAAAGGACCTCTTCAAATGTTTTTTCGAAGAGTTAGTCCGAAGCAATCTTATTCCTTCGCCTTAGTGAGAACATATTTTTTCGCCTAATGGGTGGCACGAATTGGGAGGTCTCGAACGGCTTGTCATGGGTTTTGATGTCAAAGATGGAATCTTCAGCGAATTTTTCCCCTTTAAACACTGTGGTATCCACTTTTTATAGTGGATAAATTTCAAATCGCTACTTCAAATCTCTGACTGGCATACCGTGCACATAAGTTGATCAAGTATTAACCGAACATGGAGCCATTTTCAAAACGCCCGCGGTTTTTGTTTGATTCAGACCTAGTTATGTATATATGCCCGATGATACCGCCAGAGATCGTTGGACTGTGGGCGAAAACAAAATTAACTGTTCCCACGATTGGAAGGAAACGACGATTTAATACCAAAATTTAAAAGGCATAGCGTGGACAAGGCCTCACAGTTATAACACAAAAACAACAGGAAGTGTCAAGGCAGCTTTTAAGTTGCGTCGACTGGTTCTCACAGGAAAATGTCACCTTTTTAATTTATTCTAAAGGTGTAAAAAGCTTTGACGGAAATGCAGTTCATCGCGACTCTTTTCATCACTGCTATTATTGTTCCCTCAGTAGTATAAAAAAAGGCAATGATGATTCGCGATAAGAGGTCTTTAGGTCTTCAGGTCTTAAGGTCTTCAGGAGTGTATCCCAGAACTGATCAGCCTTGGTCGTAAACTAACCTTCTACTTAAGATGCCTCCAAAAGATAAGCGCAGTAATGAAGCGAAACTGTGGTACATTAAAGTGAATTCGGGAGCCGCGTATTTATACAGAGGAGGAAAAAGAGTGGAAAATTTCTTAAACATAATCGGAGCCGAATCATACCAAGACTCATCAGGTTCTGTTGCTGAAGAATCTGGAGCATCACCTCCCAAGAAGAAACTCAAGGTGATTTAAAGTATACAGTATACATTTAATGCTGACATTGGACTCTAAATTCCCATTCAATCCAGGTTATGGCTAAATTACTGATGTATCAATTCACTGTAAGCCTAAAATCTATCATCAATTCTTCTTTCAGCTCGAATTCACTCCAATAAATTCACGGGGCGCGTATCGGTTTGGATCTGTGAACCCACGGTATTTTAATAGGTTTGCAAGTGACGACTCATTTAAGAAAATTGTGACCAAAACGGCCGACGAACTCGCTAACGGGATCAAAAAGAGTTTGGAGGAACTTGAAGTGGATCATGACCCTTCCCATGCAGAACAACGGCCGCATACAAACGTTGAGCTTTCTCAGTCTTTAACTCCTCTCTTCTGTGACGTTACTTCACAATCAAGCAAGCGATCGGGACACAATAGGGAGGAAGGAAGTTATAGGAAAAGTATACAGAAGAGGTGCAACGAATGTCAACTAGATAGTAAGTAAGATTTAATAATAACAGGCATGTTATCAAATGTTACCTGCTTTGGATCGAGAAAGAATAATAAGTGAAGCATTTGTATCAAGAATTTCTGGCTACCTGATAGACTGTAAACCATGCAATCCTGATTTTCATTGTAAGCTCAATAGAGTTAACTGATGAATGTGGTCAAAATAGGATGCATATAGCTTTTTTATGTGAGACTTACATGCGGTTGAAAAATCTGCAACCGCTTACCATTCACAAAAAGGCCTGTAAAATCAATATCATACCAGAGTAATACCATGCACATCATCAGATTAAAATAGGGTAAAGTCTTAAATTTTTCGCTCGAAGGTTTACATAGACAGGTATTTGTTCTTTGAGTTATTTTTCCTTTTTTTTTTTTTAAGTGCTGATGTTGCCATTTTTGTTGGATTATTGCTATCATTATCTTTATTAATATTATTATCATCATTATTTATTATTACTCTTATTATTGTTATCTTTGATACAACCACTATCATTATTATTATTATTATTATTATTATCATTAGTGGAAGTGGTAGCATCGTTGTAACATAATGATCAATAGTATTATCATTGTCGTTCTTTTTTATTTCCAGATAAGGTACATTTAATTTCCACCGACAATTTAATCCTCCCTCCAAAGAAAAGACAGATAAGAGAAGTAGACACCGCCTTCCTTGAGCAGTTGATTAAAAACATGAGTGAGCAACCCTCTGGGAATTATGAAGCGCTGTTTGTCTTGGAAAAAGGAATTACCAAGAAAGACCAGTTTGAGTTGGAAAAGATAGATGAATATAAATATGAAGTTCTCGGTGGAACTCATGTTGTCTTGGCTACGAAACATCTTCGTGAGAAATTTCCTCACGACGCCAACTACAGCGGAAGGGTGGCCAGGATATATGTTGGGCTCAATGATGAAGAAGCCTTGTGGTTAGGAGCCATGCACAATCAAACTGGGGCATTTCGTCACGAGCTCACGTACAGGAATGAGGTAAGGTCAAAATTTGTCTATTGTGAAATGTGCCAAATGTTGAAAACAATTCTTAGTTTGTTTTATGAATTTTTAGATTTTTTTTTTCAAATTACTATAATTATTATCAATCATTATAAATATATAAATTGAATTTCTAGCTCTGACGAAGGGCTAACGCTTGATACATCAGCTTGGAACTCTTTACGGTGACCAATTTACGTTATCAACTCAGTTGATAATACCAATAGCCTTGTCATACTCTCCTTTCGACGTATCACCGTAGTTTCTTAAGAAATTAACCCCTTTAATTATAAGTTTAGTCTGTTCTGTTTATATCTTTGCTTTCAAAACTTTATGTAGTTTGGATTATTAACAAATGTGTCACTAAAAATGTTTTCCATTCCAATATTCAAGGTTGAGATTTGTCGCACCCAATTATTCCTGCCAGCGGAAGACTATTCAGGTGATCCACCAACCCCTCCTGAAGCGTGGAGAGAGAAGTGTTCGAGTCTGCTTAAAAAATCGGTAAGATTGTGAAAATATATACTTGTTACCTTCACAAGTAATCCACCGACTTGCAGGTGTTATTACTTGACACTTAAATTTCCTCTCAGTGAATGCACAGCAGGCAGCAAACTCTTAATAAAAGCATACGAGCGTGTTTCCTTGTATATGATCAGTAGCACAGTTCTGATGTACAAAAGCGTAACATTGGGGTAAAATTGAAAAATTTATTTAAGAACCAATTCTTATTAGAATTAAGTCAGAAAGTGAAGGAAATTGGTTCCTATCTTGAAATTATGTCATTTCGGTCGATTCGGACGCATTTCAAGCAAATTTTCTATTACCCATGATGCAATGAGGGAAATCTACATGTACTTTTGAGATGCATCAAAGAATGTTGAGCGTGATGGTTAAGGAAAAGTGTTGTGTTAAGTCGCCAAGACAATTTCTCTAATGATTGTAGATATGTGAAAATCAGATACGTGCACTGCGGTGAAGAAACGAATATAAGAGATCCTCGCAGCTATGAACACTGCTGAACTAGTAGTTGAAATAAGGCCTGCCCGTACGGGATTTGAACCCATGACCTCTGCGAGATATTGCTATGACTGTTGATGCAAACTAATCTGACATTAATGTGTGTTGCCTTGTAGAAAAGAAATCTAAGTGAGATCTTTACCATGGCACAGCTGTCAGGAGAGGGCTGGACTCACTTTAGGAATTTAAACGATTTGCATGAAAATGCCCAATTAAAAGGACAGAAAGCTAAAGCCTCGGACATAGTTAAGAAAGGGAAACCTGTGCTCAGGCAGTGGCAGTTAAAACCCCTCTGCAAGTTGTCCGTAAAAGACCAAACGTTTCTTCTAAAAAAGGTGAGATATGTGCGACATTGTCCTATAAATCATTATCAAGTGTATCCTGTCTTCAAATTTGTATGAGATGATTTATTAATTCAATTGTTCAATTTTCTTATCGTCATGATCATCACGATCATCATCAGGAGTGTATCTACCTGGATTTTTCTTTTCTCTTTTGAGCCCTGTGGTTGAGGAGAGGTTTCATACTTTCAGAAAAATAGTGAACATTTGAAAGCTGATTATCTCCGCTTGTTTTTATTCATCGTTTTTAGGTGGCAACTTGCGAGTTAAGCTTGGAAGAAATGAAATTTGCTGCCTCCGAAGTAAAATCTCTAAGACCTGTCCAGGAGGCCGTTGTTAAATTCTTCAAGGTCAGCACGTGGGAAGAGGCTATTGAAGAATTTAAAAGCGCCGTATCATCTGAAAAGTTGTTGCAGTTTGCTGTAAGTTGACATGTAATAGTACGTACCTCAGTGACTCAGTGACTTATTTGACTGACAATTTTTCTGTTTACTCTGTAATTAAATTATGTCATATTGCCCTTCTGTGGCGATTTCCCTTTTGAAGTTAAATATTTCAACTTCCCCATAAAATTTCCTTCATTTCTAGATGTTATGAATTCCATCGCCTGAGGAAAAAAACCTTCGTTTCGATAATTCAGTTTTAGAATCCATGCATGGAGCAAATCCTCGTTGATATACTGAGTTATTCGTTCACTATCTGTAGGGAAAAGACTTTGAACAGACTCACGAATTCCAAAAATACTTGCAACGTTTAAAAAGAATACGAACAGGAGAGGTCATTGAGACGGCCGACCTCATAGAGGGAAAAATGGGAGCATTTGGGCTCGTAGTATTTAGCAACAGCCTGTTAGACGTACAACAAAGCGATCTGGCAAAGTTGCCACATTACGAGGGAGCGTTTTTAACCATAGGTGAAGCAGGGGAGCAGTGCGAGGTAAGATAAAAATCTAGGTGAGACTCTCCCGCTACCGTTCGACTATCGAGTGACTTGGAAAGAAATGAATTAAGTGACGAGGCATTGTTATTTTAATTGCCCTTGTTAGCATAAGACGTTATGTTTCTTGTCGCCTTCTGTTGTTTTAATTTTCCGAAAAGTTTCATTTTAACCGGGAAATGTTATAAGATAAGTTAAATGAACTTAATATGAACATTTACTTCATTTTTATGATAAAAAATCATGTTACGTTCCAGTTAGGCTGAGAACGGCACGGAAAAATCGCCTTTAACGAATACATGCAGGATTTTACTACAATCCTAATCAAATCCTGTTTTTTGTGGATAACTTTTAGTTGTTTGCATTTACTTATTACGACTCATATTTTTCTCTTCACAGAATGCTGATGATGTAATTAGTACTGTTTCCCGCATTAATTTCTGTAAGCTTACATCCTTTAACATTGTTTTATTTACAATGGTTGAAGGTGTAAAAAATCTTAAAGAAAAAATGCTAAAAGAGGGCGCTACTCTGGCACAGCATGGCTACTTTTACGTCCAAAATAAACCTCCAACTACAGCACAAGGTAAGATACTTCTAGAATTAAACAACTGTCCTCAGAAGAAAGTTTTAAAAACCTCATAGTCAACAGAATTGAATTATTTGATGTACTTGTAGAGTTAACAAAAATATATATCATGATTCTATAATCTGAACTTGTTTTAAACTTTCTCCTTGAGAGCGTATTACATGCACAATTTATAGTAAGGTTTGGTGAATTAAAACGTTCCAGCAGTGTCGAAAGAAATTAGTAAGTGTATAATACGCATATATCATATTGTTGATACTCATTTTAATTTTTTTTTAGGTCCGTATTTACAGGAAGCCTTGGAAACCTTTGTAGTTGGACACTGGTCTGTCTCAAGGCAAATAACCTCGAGACATTTGTCCGCCAGTGAAGAAAATTTGATTTTCCTGAATTCATTCCCAGCACAAGGCTACACATGGCTTGTAGAAAACCTCTCCAGAGAAGGGGACGTGGTTATAGATGCTGGAACCCCCAATGGCTATGCAATGGTGGCTGCGTTGAGGAAAGGGCGAAGCGCAGTTAGGATAGACAGTACCGCTTTGCCTTCCGAACAGGCAGCGATAGAGACTAAAATTTGTAGTCTTGTATCTTCCTAGTCTGATTTGTAAGTTGAATTACCTACTCATTAAAGCTATGGGTCCCGTTGGGAGCCCTTAGATTCCAACCGTGAGGTTCATTTCACTTGTTTTATTTAAAAGCATGGAAAAAGCGTCAGGATGAAGAGTATTGCTGACGTATATAGAAAAACATTAAAAAACTAGAGTTGAAAATGACGGTATAGATTAGGACCCTTAAAATTTCCTATCTGAAACTACTGCAGAATTTCTTCAACACTACGCGTAACATGGTGCAGAATTTCTGCAGCACTTGACGTTACACCGTGCAGAATTTCTGCAGCACTTGACGTTACAGCGTGCAGAATTTCTGCAGCACTTGACGGTACATCGTGCAGAATTTCTGCAGCACTTGACGTTTCATCGTGCAGAATTTCTGCAACACTTGACGTTACACCGTGCAGAATTTCTGCAGCACTTGACGTTTCATCGTGCAGAATTTCTGCAGCACTTGACGTTACACCGTGCAGAATTTCTGCAACACTTGACGTTACAGCGTGCAGAATTTCTGCAGCACTTGACGTTAAATCGTGCAGAATTTCTGCAACACTTGACGGTAAATCGTGCAGAGTTTCTGCAGCACTTGACGTTACACCGTGCAGAATTTCTGCAACACCTGACGTTACATCGTGCAGAATTTCTGCAGCACTTGACGTTACATCGTGCAGAATTTCTGCAGCACTTGACGGTACACCGTGCAGAATTTCTGCAGCACTTGACGTTACATCGTGCAGAATTTCTGCAGCACTTGACGTTTCATCGAGCAGAATTTCTGCAGCGCTTGACGTTACATCGCGCAGAATTTCTGCTGCATTTGACGTTATCCAATGCAGAATTTTAAATAAACCAGGTTATCGGATTTTTTAAATATTGTGTTAAAATCATAGACTTTATTGTTCATATATTAAACGTTCAGAGAATTTTGGGCACTTTCACCATGTTTAACAGACCATGCAGTGGAAAATGGAATATTTGTATGGGTAAAATGCCTTGACATTTAACTGTCCGTGGAATTAAACAAAGTTTTGCCCTTTTGAAACGACCCTTTTCCTTCCTCCGTGAAAATCGAAGTCTTTCTGGTGCTATCATTTATGAGACATTTCCGTGCTTTCTGCCTAGATAGTGCCACTTTGAGGTCACCCTCCCTCTAGGTCTTTAAAAAAAAGGTGTTATTCGACGTATTTTTGCGGAATTGACACTAATTTTACTCCTAAATAAGCCATTTTTGGCGGAAAACGCTATTTTGGAAAACACAAAATAGTTTGGAAAGCGTTAATTTAAGAAATTGTTTCGTATGTTTTCAGCTGTACTCACAGGCCCTTGAGGTCCTTAACGCCCTCGAAAATCTTGTCAGGCAAAGCCTCGATTCTGTTCTCCGAGAGATGTCTGAAACAGGTAAGGGGGAATTTAAATTAATATACAAGTAACATAGAATAACTAGGCATGGCATATCTAATTTAAACAGCAAAACTGATATCAAAACTATATAACAATTATATAGATCTGGTGACAAAGATTGTGTTCCATTTATTATACAGGCTATTACAAATAGAGGATACTAACTATATTTACTAGGGTGTTCCCTTTTATGGCTCCTGATTTTCTGTTCCAACTAATATCTGTACAAATTAATTTCCTCAGAAAATTAATCGCATGGCCGTTTTAATCCAAACCTTCGTCCTCAAAATCAAAATTTATAGACTCAGCTAAATTGGAGCCATTTTTTCTTCGTTCCAAAAAGCTCTTTTCCTTTCAAGTTAACTTTATCATTGCGGCTCTATAATCTGAAGGACGAATATAAACAGAAATCTCGGTGCACTTGAGCCGTTTATCGCTTAAACGTTAAAAAGAAAAACCTTGCTAATATATGATAATCATGCGCTTCTTTGGGTATTACCTCTCTCCATATAAATATGGTTAATTTGTAGACATTTCCATGTCAACTTTTATTCACTGAATGAGTTTTTTTCAAAATTCATATGAATGGGCTGGTTCTAAAATATGCTTTAGATTGTAACAGATCATAATGAAAAATTACCATTTAAAATCTAAATGTACTTACAACTCGAACAAATCCACTAAGCCCTGGAATTGATCTTCATGAAGCCTCTCAATTTTGTTGTAGTCCATTTTCCTGAAAAAGCGCGGTGCAGATGTCAGACTGAAATACACACATGAAGGGATATCTTTAAATCTACTTTTGTCTTAATTATCTTCTTAGTTTACTGCAGTACGATTAACTCCCAGGTTTGATATTTGAATATCATAGAAAAAAAGAAAACATTAGAGCTACATGCAACTTTAATGCTCTCAGGTCAGAGAAAATTTAGAGTTTATTACCAGAAACCTCTGCTCGAGGTCTGGCCCGAGTTGTTCAAAGCTGGGTTAGGGTAACTCAGGGTTAGTGTGAGATTTGATTTCAGGTATGAAAGCTTTAAGAGAAAATTCAGTTCAAGTCTTTTTTGCTTCCAATTTGATCATTGGATGTTCTAAAAAGAATGGTGAAAATTTTCCCTTAAAGACTCTTGGACAAAGAAATAAAGAAACCTGAATTAAAATTCAATTCTGGGTTAGGGCTAATCGACCTTTGAACAACTGGGCCCTGTGTTGTTTAAAGCTGAATTGAAAAATCGTAAGTAGTCTATTGCCGATTTTTACAAAATTATATTATTTGGGTTGCTTTAGGATCTACGTCAACAAATTCTAAGCTTCTGTCACAAAAAATAATTGCAAGACAAAAAATTTTTAGCTGCCTAAAATATATAAGAAATGTAAATTGTCATAAACTAGGAAGCCGATTTCCTCGCTTCTTGTTGTAATTGCAAGGTAACTCTCAAAGATAATTTTTGATTTATCTCAACTTAAGGAGAATATCACTTACAGAAGTCTTACAGCTGTAATATTTTTAAAGATGTATGGCGGTAGATATCCAATTTCATTACTTGACAAATCCCTAAAATGTAATAACAACCATAGTTACAAATATATCATGAAATTACCAATATTGATTCATAGAATAAAATCTCTAAGTACCTCAATTTGTCTCACCAAAGCACATCAACGTGATGTAGCATTCTAAAATTCGTTTAAACAGCTTTACAAAAATTGACCATGAATTCTTCATGACAGGGAGACAAAAAATTATCCATAGAATTTTTTACTAATCCTTATGGAGGAGAATGACCCAGGGGTTGTGGGTCTTATTTTCTTTCGCTCTCCTCATAATAAATGACCTGTTTTAGCGTACTTTCATCTAGCAATTTATTCATTTTTATCACCAGAACTGTGCTGTTTCAGTAAAAAAACATGAGCGCTCGCAAATTTCGATTTATATACACTTCAGACCTTTCAGTTTTACTTTACATGTTTCTGTTAACTGAATATGGCCACGCAGCTTTGAGAAATGTGCTCTTGGAAAAATTCATTGACCTCTTTTCACATTTTTTCTTTTGTTGAATGATTACTGTACTCACAGATATTTCAGACTGGAGAGGCTGTTAAAAATTCCATCTGGTAGAGTCTTCAATTTGTTGTTAGACAGATAGCTAATAGGAATGACAAGACAAGAAAGTGCGTCTTAATTCACAATGTTATTTGAAATTCGTTAAAAAAAATACATACAGACACTGGCCATTAAGAATAATGAAGGAGCTAAAAGTAATCGTGTACAAGCAAAGTGCGTAATATAAAAAAGAGAAAGGAACAGTTAATGCAGTGCAATCGCCATGGCTGGCTCGCTAATTTTACAGAAAAGGAATAGCCACTTGACAAGTTGAAATTTGATCGCACCCTAAGCACTGCTATCTGAGGCTGGTAGAAGCTGATTATCTCTCCTATTCCAGTGAATTACTCAGTGAAGAAATCATCGAGCCCGTGTTTTGTGCAGACACCTAACTAGTTCACAACAGAAAACTATTTAATGACTAGACACGATCTATGGCATGAATCGATTTCGTTGCTGTATGACTGAAAATCTTCTATTCTGCTTATCAAAACAACAATGACGATACAGTTTGAGATGGTTCAATTGGTTTCTTTCCGTTTTTAGTGCTGAAGGCAATATCAGAAAAATTTGAAAATGGAAATATCTCCTCTAATCTCGTATAGTTATTGACGCAATAATAGGGTTACTAGATTATTATTATCAATATAATCACACGAGCAGGCTTCTTTTGGAAGGGAGGTGACATTAAATGCTAATAATCATCCCTTAACCGCTGTTACAGAGCTAAATAGCTAAAAAGCGTCTGCATGTAACTTACAGTTCCTTCAGTCTTTTTAGATCTTGGAATAATTCGGGAGGCAATTCAGTGAAGTTGTTGTCTTGCAACCATCTGCGTTGAAGAAGAGAAATCTACTTAGTTTTACTGGGAAGTCTGAACCAACTAAAGAAATAAAATGTTTAAAAAAATAAAAGAATGGCAGAATAAAAACCAAAACACAGTTATTTCTAATAACTGTATCGTGCGAAACACAATAAAACAAATAATTACATGTGTCTGATCATACATCACAACAAAATGCAATGTCATTCGAAGCAATGCCATACGATAAAGTTCTACGTAGTTATTCACCGAGTGGGAGGGCTGAACTGGAAAATAATACGCTCGAGAGCATGGCGTACGTAGGAGTGGGACGGATTATATGATGTAACAAAATTTTAGAAGGACAACATCAACAAACTGATAATGGTTTCTCAAGCTGATGCAGTGTTAAGAATTAATCTTCACTTTACCTCAATTCTTCAATTTTTATCAACTTGGAGCAATGATTTGCATCAGAAGATATATTGATAAAACTTTTCCAGAGAAATTCTTTGACAAAAGAGGTCTCGCTTGAGTGCAGTGAGAATTTAAACCTTTCCTAACTTTTAAAATCTGACTGATTTCGAAAAGTTATCAGTGCTTTCCTATTATCTGATTCTGTGTCATTGCACAGTATGAGTCACAAAAAAGAATTTAATACATTGAGATCCTGCAGTGGGAAATTATAAATTGCGCAACTTTGTTTCTACGAGTAGCAATGCCTTCAAAAACATTATTTCCACATTCACTTACAGTTCCTCTAAATATGCCATTTTTTTGAAGGTGCTTCCATTTAATTCTTTCATGTCGTTGTCATTCAGGCGTCTGCGTTATTTATCATATGAACTGATTAATAGAGTTAAGATACGCCTGGGCTCAGTTGTTCGAAGGCCAATTAATACTAACCCAGGGTTAACTTTCAATCTACGTTTCTTTATTTATCAGTTCAAAAGCATTTTTGAGAAAAAAATTCCAGTTTTTTTTCAGAACATCCAATCATCAAATTGATCATCAAAAAGATTTAAACTGAATTTTCTTTCAAAGCTTTCAGGTCTGAAATCATATTTCACACTACCCTGGGGTATCTTAACCCAGCTTTGAACAATAAATAAATTCTAGGATGGTGACTCGGAACATGGAATCTGATGAACTTGTCAAGGTTTCTCTGTAACACCTTGACTAGTATCAATTTAAAACAAAGACACTTAAGGGGTTTTAGAGCTATTCTGCCGCAAAAGAGGCACATCTTAACCGCACTTCAAGAAAGATTTGAAAATATTTTAGGTATCATTAAATCTGTCAAATTCCTTGTTCCCCTGGATATGCGAAATTGGTACGCAGGTGATAACAGGTATGAAATTTGAGTTTTATCAGCAAGTGTGGGGGTTGGCCGCGACACTCCGTTGTGTGTGATTTGTTCTTTTAGAGAAGAGTATGAGATCAAATGAGCAGGATTTTTTTTCACCTTTGAACTTTACATATCTTAGGTTCTTAAACAAAGTATACGACTCACTGGTCGGTAATCCTGAGTTTAAAAAATCGTAACGACAACTAAATGTTACTCACAAGAATCTCAATTTTGTGTTCCTGTCGAAGATTCCGGGTGGAAGGTTGTGCAATCGCATCTCAGACAAGTACCTATTGATACAGTCCACATACATAAGTGTTGCATAACGTACAAAGAGCAGCAATACCGTACCAAATCACTTATTAAAATTTAAGTGTAACTTGAGGCAATGACTATCTTTTTGTAATAATTGCGATTTGATCTCAATTTTTTTCCTTAATACGGTGTAAGACGAGTTATCTCCTTAAAAAATAAACGGTAAAACAAAGTGCGTGAAGTAAATAATTCAAGTGAGTTTAGCATTTTTTTAAGGGGGGGGATAAATTAAGTTTTTTACGAAGCTATCACCTTCATTTGAAGTCCATTGAAATTCACAGTGAATGTTATGTTTTTAAGTTACTTAATTTTCGTGATCGTCTGGGCCATAAGACCTTTTAATCATGTGTCTTCTAGTAGAAGACATTTAAAGATTTTATTTTGAATATATTATGAATTACTAACGCCCTTTGAAGATTAATAAAGGAGCACATTCATAGAAACACATTCAAAGAAAGTGTTTCAAACAATGGCAGTAACGAGGGAACCTAGGCAAATTCGTAACGAAACAAAAAAAAAATAAGATTTCCTTTCCTCCATTGTTTTTTCGTTACCTTGCGATATTTTGAGATGTTTTTACCTTAACAAGATAGCCTGCTATGTCAATAACAAGATATTATTCGTGATATAAGATACATATGCAAATTTTGCTGCTGGGAGCCAGTTAGGCCCTAACATCTTGTACCTAAACTATGCTTTTTAACTGAGAAACAAACAAAATTGTTGATAAGGCTTGATACCTTCGTTTTAATTCTTTGTTCGTTATTTTCTTATTCTGATAAAACACATTTACACCGACAAAATCATCGACTACCTGTAGAAGTGGCGACGAATTAATGTTTAAAAATTTTGATGTCAGCATCATGTTTCTTTTCGAAGCTACTTTATCGTCTGTGAAAGCGGAGAATGGGATCAATGTAATCTTTACTTCCGGTGTTGCCTGTCCTCTAGAAGACGAACGGCTAAGTATTGTGGTAACCAAGACATTGCAAATTTGAAACTAGCCTGAACCAACTAAAGAATGAATCAGTCAGCGATAAAAAAAAGGCACGACTTTGCTAAGCTTCCCTTCATAAAGACTGAATATATGCTGATTTTACATGTACTACTACTTTTACTAAAAACAGAAAAAAATTAGGATGGTTTTTTCAAATTATGCCAAAAGTTATGTCAAAAATAATGCTTAGAGTTGGAGACGTCATCTAACATGGCGTTTCTTTTAGATTGTTTGACTCTCTCTTTTACTGTGTCGGCCAGTTATTAACTTTTAAGACAAATTATCATTGAAATGCTTTATTGCTACTTTTATAACAAAAAATCATACTTACAGGTACTCCAAGTAAATATTTCTACTGAAAACATCTGACTGCAATTCCTTCAACGGGTTACCGGACAAGTAACTACAATTTTAAGAACAAAAGCAGTAAAAGTGCATTGATAAGTAATAATGATAACAGTAATAATAATAACCATAATATTTTTTAAGGGTTTTAACACTTCAAAGCTAGCAACCATTAAAGGAGAAAGATATTACACCCAAAAATAGTTGTGATTAAGGTTATACTGAGCATGTGTGATAGAGAGTAGCGTGTCAGCAAGTGGTGAAAGTACCGGACCCGGTGGTCTGGGTTAGAGGCCACGCCCAAGATACTCATGGGGTATTATTAGTCCCCCGGTTCCAATCAGTGACAGTGTTCCCTAAACGAACGGATAGTTTCCGTCCAGTCAGTAGGATTTCCCACCTCTCTGGGTTTCCTCTCTTCCCTGTTTACCTTGCTCTGTTAAATTTATAACTTTGGGATTGTCATATGGGCTATTTATTTAGGACTATGTCATTCCCCGGGAGCCCATTAATTCTTTGCTCTTTCTTTTTCTGTTTTAATCGTGACTTCCTAACTTATGCATTTACAGTAATTTACGGTCTGATGGTGAAAAGCGCATTCTTTGAGACATCAAACGCGCAGTCTCAATTTGCGCTGAAATTCAAATTCCAATGCAACTCAGTCCGTGCAAGCAATGCTTAAAATGTTATTTACAAGGCTATAAGATTTTAATTACTGTAAATGCTGTGTTTTCAGAGTTTAAACAAATTTCGTATGGGTGCAAAATTTTATCCGAGCCAACATGAACAAACTCATATCATAGCTACGTGGTACAAAATTGTTGCTTGGTTTTTCTGGTTATCTCACACTTATCCCTCATTATGCTGTAAATAAATATAATAACATCCTACTAACAGAAATGACAGATCACGGTTGTTTATAAAAATGCCTGACGACAAATTCTTTAGCTTGTTTTCGTCAAGAGTCCTATTACAAGAAAACATATCAATGTACTGATTAAGGTAAAGCTTCAAGATGATGAAAGACCTAAATTTTTCCAAGTATTAAAGCTTTATACAAGAATAACAATAACAATATCAACCCCAATACAAACCCTTTTTTATTCAAATGTACATGATATCTATTATAATGATTTTTATCTTAGTCTAGTTTTCTCCCATAATGCGTTAAAGAAAAAAAACATGCAAAAAGGAAAAAAAAACTCAAAAAAGCAATAAAAAAGGAAAAACATCATTGGCATCCCTCTGCACAAACGAAAAGACAAAACAATAAATAAGCAGGGAAACAAGACAAAAAAAAAAGTAACAGCCCTGGTAACCCTGTGTACAATAGGGATAAAAGAAGGGGTTGGGGAGAGAGAGTGGAGGCTAATTTGAAACATTATTACATATATATCCAATTATATTCTATTCATGAGAGTCTTTGATAAGTTTATTTAATTTTTAATGATTCTCTTTTACAATAGACACCTTATTTCTTGTAGAAATTAGAATACTCAAGCACTATTTTGTCACAATATATTTATTTGCGAGCTTGATTTTTCTTAACACAAGCTATAGATAGATATTGGGCCACAGCCCCGCTTTCGCTCGACCTTTTCGCCATAATTCGGCGAAATGCCTTGAATCCACAACTATGTAGAAACAATTGCTATTTATTTCTGTCTCTTCCAAGTAACTGGACTTTCTATCCTCACAGAGTAGTTCGTTTCAGCTTCTGACCATTTTCTCGCAAACAGTCTATTTTGCAATAAAGTCTCGCTTCATAATAAAATCAATGTTTTTCTTGAGTACGGTTTATACCATCTTATGACATTCTCTGAATAATTGTCCCCAAATTCAAAACCCTTCGTGTAAATCACATTCGAAAAAAAACTTTGTTTAACTTTATTCCAATCCTTCGCAGGTGCTTTCAAGAAAAAAAAAATCGTGTGTAAAGAGAGGACCACACACTGTATAGCTAGAACGAGGTTAGTAAATCTATAATTTGACTGAACTATAAGCAGTTCTGTTGTTCATCCCCAGACCCGAAGGAGGCCAGGAAAATGGTGAGGAAGAAACTGATGACGGGATACTTTTCCGTCGATTGGATAGGGTATCAAACATGACCTCTGATGAAAAGTAACTACACAGTTTCAATCACAAAGAACCAGTCTCCGAAGGGTTGTCAACATTCCTCCGTAATCCCGTTTAATTTCTTTAAATAGGGCTGTCAAGTTCAAGTATTAAGAAACTTGCGCTCCGACTCCGCCAATGGAAAAGTACTTCAATTAAAAACAACAAAACGCCCGAAAACAAAAAACAAAACAAACATTAGAAACAAAAACCCTAAAGCAGTCCTTCATCGATATAGAGTATCTTGGATCGTGTAGGCTCTCTCAATTTATTAAATTTTCAGAGAAATTTCCTACTGCCGGTCATTCAGTGGTCTGAGAACCTTGACCGGCTACCGATCAGATGATGATAACGCGAACTAAAAGCAACTTTACAATTATCGACAAAATATAGCTCCATTATAAGCTTAAATCGGAAAATCCCCGAAACTTTTTTTTTAATCATATTTGCTTCCCTTTTGTGCCCGTTTCATGTATTTTTTTCTTTAAAGATCGTGTGCTCGTTAGTTTGTTTTTAATAATCTCAGTTTTTGTTTTAAAAAGACTTCACTTCAATTATTGCCTATTTCAATAACATCGCAGTCTTAAGTCCGTAAATATGAAAATTTCAGCAAGACAAAAAGTAATTTCGTCAATAAAATGTCGTCTGCGGCACATACTTAAGCAGCCATTTCAAATCCTTGTTTACTCATTCGAAATTACGTGACCACACGGCAAAAAAGGTAGAAACAAGAAGAGAAATACGTCCCAGGGTGCTGTGCGTAAAAACATCCCGCGTGGTAAAACGGCATTAACACCAAATTAAAATTTAACTTTGTATGGTATTTTACATAATACGTGTCATTGTACACACCATGATTACTATGGAGGGCGTAAACTGGAAACAGTGACGCCTGAATTATCTAATCTTTTAATAAAACATCGAACCCATTTTTACGCTCTATGTTAGTTTCTGGGTTATTTTTCTTATTTTTAAATTTTTTTTTAATATTTCGTTCAAAATCCAAATTTTTACAGGGCTGGTCATTTTATGGCGAAAATAAACATTTAGGGGGATGAGAAGTGCTGGTGGCACATTCTGTTCAGCAGTGGTCAAAACATGGGAGACTTGGATCCAAATGTACTGCACATCAGCATTAGAAATAACATTAACGTTCGGGAAGGAGGACTTTTCGATCATTTGGAGATAAAACATTAATTCTATGTTCGGTAGATTTGGATTTAAGCCACCTTTTGCATAAATAAAGCGGGGTATAAACTTACAGGTTTTCCAGCCCGGTGTTTCCACTAAAAATGTCTGATGGTAATTCCTCCAACTGGTTGTTGTCCAACGTCCTTGCAAAAAACCATTAAAAGGCAATGTTAATTACATCGTACATATTAAAGAAGGTCAGGATCCACAAAAACTGTCCGCAAATAAACCTAAAGTATCAAAGAACCGATGCTTTCTTTTCGATTTTCCATATTTGAGTTTGCAACAAGGAAACGTGCTATTTTTTAGAACAAAATGACTTTGAAGGTTTTTTTGAATTCAAAGCACTGAAAAGAATCGAACACTTTAAAATTTCTCACTACTCCCTCCCTCTCCTATGATCACCCGTTGTTGTAATACATAAGGCTTTACGATACAAACTGACACGTAGTGTAGACCACATCATAAGCCAGCCCATATTGATTTGTTGCAGGATGGGGGTTAGGGAAGGTAAAGATACCAAAAGAAGTTTGAAAGATAAAAATATTGAACTAATATTACAGAATGTCTGGAATACACAGACCCTGACAGACGACTGGTTGATGCGCAGCCCAGTCTAGGTTTCAATACAAAAAATTTAGGTTTTTTTACAAACGCAGAGGTGGACTTTCATGATTTTTTTTCTCCTTCCAAACTGAAGTATTCTCTAGTAGAACGTCATTGCTTCAACTTTTTTTCTCGCTCTTCAACATCCCAAGTGGTATACGACGGTAAACCAATGTAAAAGTGTGGTTTATTGCTTAGCTTTTCGCCTCGCGGAGCAAAGAGAGACGCGCCATCGGTGCTTGTAATCGTTGCAGGGTGAGAAGAGTTAAAATCATCTGTTTGTGCTGTATTATTTCACTATTTTCGTATATATTACGGGTACGTTTCGGTGGTCGGGTATGATTAAAACCAAGGGAAAAACACGTTCCAGCTTCGCAAATTATTGAAGGTTGGGCAAAACACGACTCTTTAATTTGTACCGCTCAAGACTATATATTCCTTATTTTCAAACAAGTTTTGTGCCTTTTCGGTCGTGAATTTTATTTGGATTTCAACCAAGGACTTTGTTTCCTTTTTTTACGTTTCACGATGAGAAATTGACAAGATTGAATGCTCGAAAAAATATAGGACTCAAATGCGAGGTATAGAGCTGTTTGACGCGAAAGGGAGTCCCCGTTTAACGGAAAACATAAAAGAACTTTCTTTACATTTATGACCGCAAGAATTCTCTTTCTAGGAACAAAGCAATTCATCTGGTTCAATGTTGTACACAGTTCTTTTCCCCTTAATATTCCAGCCACCCCTCAAAGACTTTAAAAATATGGACATTTCGGCAAGACAAGAAGTAATTTCGTCCATAAAATGTCGTCTGCAGCACATACTTAAGCAGCCATTTCAAATCCTTGTTTCCTCATTCCAAACTACGTGACCACACAGCTAAAAAGGCTGATTGCTAAGGCAGAAAGAGAGGTCAAAACGAGGAGAGAGGTAGGTCCAAGGGTACTGTGCGTAAAAACATCCCGCGTGATACAACGGTATTAACACCAAACAAGACGATCTAATATCGTAAGTCGGGCTACAGGTAGACGCACTGTTACAAGTGTTGACCATTCACGGTGCGCAGTGGTTCTAAAAGAAATACAGAGGTACCATGGTCCTGGTCTGTGGGCGTGGAGTAAAATTTTCGCACCCCTGAGAGGCACCAATTCTACAACAACACACTGTCACATTTTTGGTGCAATACCTTGACAGGTATCACAGAGGCTGCTGCTGTGGACCTTTTGAGGCTGAACAACCCAAGAGGTACTAAACCCGCTCTTTTTAACCTCTAAAAGCTATGATGAGCACTTCAGTCCCTTTCTAACAAAGCGTAGTCAGAACGGGTCAATTTTCGGTGTTTGTTCAAGCGTTAAATATTCAACTTTGTCTAGACAAACTGTCGCGCTTCATCATTTACAATTATGGGAAATCCGTACTTTCAAGCACCGACTTTAATTTGAACGCGTGCGAGGGCTGAATAAACGACATTAAACAGAATTTGGCGGAAAATAAATCTAGATTAAAAGTAGTACGTACGTGCAGAAACATAAACACGATAAATTGACGGTATGGACACAAACTTGCATGTTTCACGCTTGAACGAATACGTAAAAGCTGAATACTGTAAACAAAAATACTCCTCGTAGCACGTTCCAAATTTCGAAACTCTTTACTTGTTTACGTTTCCAGAAAGCTTTTAAAACGGCAGCTGGCTGTTATTTTGAACCCTGAAAAATGTTTTTCGGTCACTCTGTACACTTTTTTGTGTTCACTGATAACTCATTTGATTTCTGGTTTTATTCTAGTGAGACCTTCGCTAAATCATCTGATTATTTTGCTATTTTGAGTTCGCGGAACGAGCCGTTTCGAAATATACGCTCATTACACGAGCCATCTTTTAGAGTGGGTCTACCGCGAACAGTGTGTGGGTCTGTATGCCTAAGCGTAGAAAAGATGACACCATTCGCTAAGATATTCGACAAATCTGTCATGTTCAACATGGTGGAAAGAAGCTCTATTACGTGTCTGCGGTATTCCCCATTGCACGTGACTGAGCTCTGTGGAGAAACACGAGGGTAAACCTATAGTCGGTCGCCCGTCTAATTAAAATTTAACTTTGCAACACAAAGCCTATAACACGCTAGATTTTTTTTCTTTTTAACACGCTGAGTTCCTTTTTTTCCTTGACCGGCTTGCTTACCTTTTTACAACCCAGCCTAATTTGTCACTTGTGTTTGTCAAGTGTATTACTAACAAAATATAAGCGAAAATGAAGAAGATCTCCTGTCTTACTCGAAAGTTGTAATAATAGAGGAAACACTCACCACAAATCACTTTCCCTCAAGATTTTCAGAAGGAATTCAGTGAGTACGACGTGTTTCACAAGGTCCTGAGGAGCTCAGTTTGAACACATGAATTACTTTTTTAAAAGTAAATCCTTACCTCGTAAAATATAAATCCTTTTCGCTTCACGCAATTAATTAGCCCTGTACTGAATATTTGTGAATCCTTTACCAACAGATTACCGGCTCCATGTCTCCTTAACGACGCGGTCGCTGTTTGTCACTCTATGCAAGTTGGCATTTTTTTGAAATGAATGACCGCTACTTAGCTGGCGCAAAACGAAGCTTTCCGAGCGAAGCCGCGTACTATTCATTATTATATACATACTGAGATTTACGCGCCAAAATTCATCGAGATAAAGATAGGCTCTTCGCACTAGAAAAGCCAGCTGATTGGTCATACGATTATCATTGTTTTCACTAGTGAACAAAACCGTGTCGCTTACTCGCCGCTCCTCTTGACCGGCGCATTTTTCTTTAGGAAGATGGCTTCAAATCAGACTAACCGTTTTCAGAGCCTAGAATCATCAATAGAAGAGTTCACAGACGGACAGGAAAATGAAAACACCAAGAAAAAGACAAAAGAATATGTTGCTCTGTTACATGAATTTCTTGTTTTGAAAAGAGAGACGAGACAAATGGACGAGTGACTCCTCAAGCGCTGAACAAGTTTCTCAGCGAGTTCTTTATAACTGTTCGCAAAAAAGAAGATTAGGAATACGAGCTTAGTACCCTAATGGCATTTCTCGCCAGCTTTAAGCGCCATTCGAAGAAAAATAAACTATGGATATGCCTTATGAAAGACGTCCAGTTTGAGCAAACTCGGAAAGCACTTTAGTCAAAGCAAAGGGATCTAAAACAGAAAGGCATGGGCACCAAGCCCAATGCTTCTGCTGCTTTAAGTGAGGAAGATATTCGAGTTCTGTTTGAAAAGGATCTCTTGGAAAGTTCCACGGCAGAAGCGCTTTTAAACAGGCTGTGGTTCAACGACACAATCCATTTCGGGTAACGAGGTTGCAAGGAGACCAGAGAAATGTGCTGGGGAGACGTAAAACTTTGTCAAAACTTCCACAGGGCAGGAGTACCTCAAATTCAATGAAAGAGAAACCAAAACTCGTCCAGGAAACGATCCACGGAAAGTAAGAGCCATTGCAATGAAAATGTTTGCTGTGCCGAACAACGAGAAATGTCCAGTCAAGGCCTTCAAAGTCTACGCAGAAAAGCGACTCGTGGAAATGAAAACCGACGATGCACCGTTTTATTTGGCTGTAAGCAATGCAAAATCTGGCTTCGGCAAACCTCGGCTCAAAAAAGCTCCAGTCGGTGTAAATAAGCTTAATACCTTAATGAAAACAGTGGCACAGAAAGCCGGACTCGGGCCAAACTTTAAAAACCTCAGCGGCAGAAATACTATGATTCAAACTTTAGTGAACAACGACGTGCCGCCAACTGATATTAGAGTGGTTTAGCAAGAGGACGGGAACGTCATTTCAGAACGGCGCGCGCAGCAGAAGTACCGATAAGAAACTGGGTCTACAACACCATCGTGTTGTGTTGAAAAGTGAATTAGCAGTCGTTGTAACGAACCGTCGACGTTATATTTGTTCTTGAATATCCTAACCTCGGCTCTTTAAGATCACTATCAGCTTTGAATTTTCGGTTTCATAGACCACTTGAAGGATAACTAAGTTATCCTCTTTGAGAGTGTAACATGCACAAACAGACCATAATTTACTACAAGTGAGTTGTTAACATGAATCCACATGGGCGATTATATTTGAAACTATTTCAATCCAGTTAAGTCTCGAGTCTGCAGATTCATCTATCAAACTTTCAAGTCCACTAAATATATTTTTCTATGATTTTTATCGCTGTCATTTTGTTTCGTGCTTCTAGATTTCAGCATTACTCGTTTTCCTTCACAATTTTGTAAAGTATAATTTGGAATTGAAATCATCGCCGTTTTTTCCTTGTTTACTGATTATTCTTCTCAATCATGACAGGACATCTCTTTTGAGCACCACCTTCTTAGAGTTGCAATGAATTTTGAACGGGGTTATCAGGAGTTGTGGCGAAAACATGTAGAGATCAAGCGACCCAACGATGGAGTTGTTTACAATGAGTTCCCGTTTGACCATGAACGAATGAAATGCCCTCAAATTAGTCACCAACGAAACGGGTAGACTGAGGAATAAGACTTCGTTACTGTTTTATTTTGCTTTTGTTTTTGCTTAATTTCTTTTTTTTAACGAATAAAGTCGTTCAAGACTGAATCAAATGAATAGATTTAGAAAGCCGTGCCGAAATCAAGTTGATTCGCATTTTCTTTCGTAACGATAGAATGACTCTCTTGTCTTAGTTTTCACGGGCGCTGATCAAAAACTTAAGACATAAAAAAGTGCAAACCCGATCTATTCTCAAATTTTTTTATCGCTGACTTCGATTCGCAGAAAACTTTTTAATCACAGTGAAAAAGACAATGACAACAAATAACACTGAATAATACAGCAGGTAATCTTCGTGTTGTTTCATTTTGACAAACTTCAACATGAAGTAAGTTTAATTTATTGATGAATTAATTCACGATAAAATTAAGAGCACCCATTCTTCAAGTTTCCATGCATGGTTTAAGAAATGTATCAAAGAAAAGCCCTCACGTTGTTTAAAGCCACGCTAAATTACAAAAGGTAACTGAGCCCTAAAATCTTCGATCGCTTACTAACGATCTTGTTTCCCTTCAGAAATCCAGAATAAATATAATGGTAAATTTTCACAACTTCACCGAATAAAACAAAGAAAGGGACTTGGTTATCTTGGAAATGAGCTCTGAAATCATTCCAAACAACATTATCTTGCTTCTAAGTGCAAACTTAACGCAAATCCTAGGCGTTTTGATCACGACGGGAAAACCAGCAAGATGACGTCCCGAACTTGATGGGGAGAACGGCAATGCTAACACCGAACGTCGAAATAAAGTCATGTCCAGATTATCCGCGCGCTTTCCCGTTCTGAAATGACGTTCCCGTCCTCTTCCTAAATCACTCTATTATGCAACTGTCAGGACACAAAAACGTTCAAAGTATCACTAGCTACTTTACCGTCTCACAGAAACAACAGTTGAACATGTCTCACACTCTCACTGGACTAAGTTTGGGAGAAATAACTCCCAAGTCTCCCTCTTCTATTCCGGAGAAAAGAAAGCACGAGTTTGACGAACTCGCTTATCCAACAAGCAAGCAAGCAGCACAGCAGCCCCTTATTCTTTTTTCGGGTGCTGTTATAAGCGGAGGACATATTAGAGTGGCATTAAACACTTTAAATCAATCGCCCACACTTTCAGTACGAGAGCAAAACTCATAAAAGAATTAAACTTCTTAATTCGGATTCTGACTAGTGTTTGTCAGTGCATGCGGGTTCTGATAAGCAACAAAAAATGAATTCTCGGGTTTTAATTTCTGTATTCCAAATTTTGAACTTCCGTAAAACTCTTTCCACATATTTTCAGGATGTCTTATTTTATTCTAACTAGTTCTACCTTTTAACGGTATTTTTGCTCGATAATTTAAATGTAAAGTTTTTACAAGGAAGCCATTTCAGTGCAACTCTCGAGCTGTGAGGCAGTTGTTTTCCTTTGAAAGAAAATAAAGATATGTTTATCTCTGAGTTCTGTTCGCTTATGAATCCCGGTACGCATATATTAATTAAGTTATTTCATGGTAATTTCACTTGCACGATTTTTATTCACTCGTTGTAAATAAAAATCGTACACACTCACCAACCATGAGACAACCTGTATTTGTACGCCGATCTTGGCATCTTACGAGCTCTAAGTCTTTAGCACTGCGGTACATACCTTGCGGAACGCAACTGTAACGCAAGGATAATTAAAATTAACATGGTCGAAGGTACTAACGAGCTTTCTTTTTTAGTTCGCAAAGTGAGCAAACTTAAAGAATCAAACTCCTCTGGACCCTGTGCGTGTATTCAATTGCTTTTGGTTTCCATAGTTAGGTCATTACACTACAACACGTTTACACACGCAAAGGAACAGGCAAACGCCTCTTAGTCGTTCATTATCAAGTTTCAAAATGCATTCACAGAGTCATAGATTCTCATACTTTCTAACTGGCGGAAAAGATTTAGAATCCCTGGCGGAAGATTATTTTTGGCGGCAGACCAGAAGAGGAAGATGATCAACTAGACGACTACGGTTCTGACAGCAGCGATGAAACTAATCAGGAAATTGACTCCGATGATGAATTTGACTTTTGAAATTGAGATTCATCTAAGCGATAGAAAGTGCAGGCATTTGCGACCAAAACATGTGGATGTGCACTTGGAGATAAAGGAGATCCATGCAGCTCTACTAACAAAATTGAAGTCATCTTCGATTGCCGAAACAACCTTGTGGAACTTTCCTCGACTGAACTCGATCTGGTACTGAATTTTGGGAATGATCCACTAGGCCATAAACTGTGACCGGGTCAGCAACGCGGGAAGAGCAGAGAAAATGAGGCAGCGAACAAGGATGCCTTTCCTTCTTCACAGCCACCGAATCTGCCTGAAAACGTTTCTTTTCATGCATCGTCTCCACAAGACCAGATTCTACAGTCGCGTTAAACATAATCGGGTTAGCGGACTATCGCTTCGTACTCACGGCAACAAGTCTTGACTTCTACCTAGCTCCGCTTTCAGTGCTGAAACTATTAAACGGGTGGTAAAGTTCATCATGAACGTCGCCAAAGACCAAGCTTTTTTACTTCCAGGACGTGTTCCTGGCCTCAAAAGAACTGAAAAGAAACTGCTGCCAACCTCCATGACAAAATCTCGTCTTTGGAGAAGGTGCGTAGAGACTAGCAAGGCGAGCGTTCAGTGCCACATTAGTACAAGTCCAACGTCTACGGCTGATGTATCAGTACAAAACGACCACTACGACGTGACTACCGAGCTCCGACAGCAGATATTGAACCTGACAGAAGTAGTTAAGCAGTTCACAGCACTCAAGTGTCTCCATCAGCATAAGTCGGAGCCTACTTCTATGCCGTTATTCGATGATGATTCGGACTTCTCAACATTGAATTCCGAAGCAGTCGCATCTCTGGTGAGTTTCTATAGCAGCCCCTGGTCAAGACGTACAAGGAAACAGCCCCATTCAGTAAAGAACTTACTGAGTCTTAGCGTCCCATCTGCGTACACTGCGTAAAATCTACCAAGAAAGCCCGTCGCCCGTGTTTCCTGACAAAATGGCTCCAACAAGATCACCTCTGCAGCCTGTTGACCAGGACGTCGTCCATTAGTGTCACGCAGCCACGGTCCAACGGATGAGCAGCGAACCAAAGTAACTACAATTGTAACGAAGGGAACTGATATGTATCCTGCGCCCTTGCTTCTGTTGATGTTCTCTTTACCGGCGGCGAGATGGCAAGGTGCAACGGATCAGGAACTAAAGGTTTCCACCGGTTGGACAGCGGAAAATTAGGCTTTGTTGTGTCCGTTTCACAAAGAAAGTTTGACTCGCCATTTTTTAGTGAGCAATGGAATCAGATTACCCCCTCGCATTAATACGAAATGTAGAGGAAAGAGGAGGACTCTTATTCGCATACTTAAGAAAACTAATTTGTTTCGAAAACACAAAGATGGTACAATTAGTCTATCCTTTCCCAAAAAAATTATAAGTCGGCTAATTGAGTTAGCCATTGTTCAACAAAATTTGGTTCTAATTTATTTCAAATTTGGCTAATCTTAGCATATAAACTTTACTAATTATGGAGAGCCTAAAGAAGGCATAAAACGCAGACTAGAAAATCATTTATCTGCCCAAAATAATGCATTTACAAACAGGTTAGGTGACGACAGTCAAAGGAATAAAGTTTCGCAAATAGACAGTCAGTTAATAAAAAAAAGTATATTAGATATTTATTTTTATATAATAAGCTCAGTTATGCACGCACTCCGACTGGTTCTCACTTATGATCTATTGGAGGACAGACATATAGATGACGTCATCATTAAAACTTTTTTCCGTATATTTTAATTCTTTTTTATATAAAACAAATAGATTCCAAGTTGCCGTGCGTCTGTTCAGTAATAGATCACAGAGGACGTCAAAATGTGGTAAGAACATCAGTGACACACTCGGCTGCGCCTTGTGTACCACTTTTTTGTTCTTACCACATTTTGACGTCATCTGTAATCTATTACTGAATAGACGCACGGCAACTTGGAATTTATTTGTTAAATCTTGTTCTCTCCTTCGGATAAAAAAAGAAAAGAATGGCGTTCTCGTGGTGAGAGGGAATCGAGCCCCACACCGCCGATTTAGAGAGCGCAAGCGCTACCACTGCACCACACGGAATGATCGCTTACAAATTTCTTGGTGCCGTTGGATTAGTTCAAATGCACTTTATAGAGCGCGACTGTAATTTAGGACGTTTCGTGTTCTATTTTAGATATATTCCCTAATGGAATACCAATTTTCAAGAAATAGAGTTTCTTTCCCGGATCTTATATTGCCCGTATCCCCATATTCACTTTATCAGAAATATAACCGGCAGTAATTAAATTCAATTTCGGTTACAGGGGCCCGGATATCTCTAGAAAAACTTTACAAATCCGTAGGACTTCGTGAGTCATTTATCACCGTAATATATTGAGGTAAATTTATGGCATAACGTAATATTGTTTCATAGAAGCTTGAAGAGAAATTAAGGGTGCATGACTTATTTTTAAATTCACTTTCTTAGTTGTTACACTTCAAGTGTTTTGACTGGCTCATTTAAACTGGGCTCTCACTTTTTGACTAGGCTACAGGTGTCACTGGGCTGATTTTTTTTAGTTGTTTTTTTGTCATCTCTGCGTGCAAAGAAGAATAATCAGAAGAAAACTGAAACGAAGACATGAACACTGAACTGCATAGAAGAATATTGTTGATTTGATAACTAGACTAGTTAGGGAAGAGGAGAAGGGTCTAAGGGGGAAATTCCCTCTTCGAATGTTTCCTTTAACACATTCTCGTATAAATTTTTCTTTAACGGTCCATTAAGCGAACGAATTTTCCTAAACCAATGCATGTTTCAAATGAAAATGTGCTAATGCAGCTTTATTAGGATATAACCCAAATATGCGATATCAACCATGCATTCAAACGTCTGCTTTGAAGGTTGGATTCTATGCGTTCCTCTTACACCAATATTAAAAAAGACTCCAAACTTACAGCGTCCCCAGCAAGGTATTTTTACTGAAAATGCTTGATGGTAAACTCTTCAACTGGTTGTTGTTCAACTGCCTATCAAAAATTAATGAATGTATTTTCAATTGCATGGTATACGACAGCAAAGTTCAGAGAAAAAAAGCTATTACTTCTGTTCTCATGCTCTGATAGAAAGGCCTAAAACAAATCCACAATTACTACAAAATAATTTTTTATGGGTTCGCCATATTTTTCCTTTTTTTTTTTTTTTAATTTTTTGTTCCTTCGTCCAAAAGAGAATATTTAGAGGAAAATTGAAACATAGACCTGAGTACTGAACTACATGAAATATTCTTGACTTGTTAATGAGGCTATTCAAGGAAGAGGGAAAGGTTTCAAAGGGCGAAATTCTACCTCAAAATAATTCCGTTAACAAATTTCCTTACAAATGTTTCTTTGATAATCTATTTCGCGAAAAAATTTTCCTGAACTAATGCATGTTTCAAAGGTCATTTCATAGTCCAAGTGTTAATGCGGCTGCAGCCATGCGGCCACTCCAGATGGGTATTGCTACTGAAAATGCCTGATGGTAAATTCCTCAGCTGGTTGTTGTTCAACAACCTATCAAAACTAAAGTTAGTGTATTTTCAATTGCATGGTATACGACAACATAGTTCAAGGAATAAGAGTGCTCGAAAAAGAGTTGTTACCTCTCTTCTCCAAAAAAACAAAAGACAAACAAAGCAAAAAACCAAACCAAGTGAAAGCTTGGCATTCCTCTGTGCAAACAAGCAAACAAAAACAAACGAACAGGGAAAGGTGTGGGTACCGATTTGTTTCCGGTTCACGTGACATTTTCCAATTATGATCTACTCACGAGAGTGTCCAATTAGTTTATTTAATTTATAAGTATTCTTTTTTTAACAAAGATATCTTTTTTCTTGTAGGAAAGGAAAGACTCAAGTATTTTTTACGCTCATAATTTGTCACTTTATAATTTAAGCGTTATTTATTTGCTTGATTTATCTCGTTTCTTTAAGCCCATGCTCCAACGAAATGCCTTGAATCCACAGCAAGGTAGAAAAGATTGCTAATTCTTTTTGTCTATTCTCAGTAACCGGGCTTTATATCATCCGCAAGCAGGGGAGCTCGTTTCAGCTTCTGACAGTTGTTCATCAACAATCATCTTTGCAGCAAAGCCTCGTTTCATAATCCATAAATATTTTTCACGGGTATGGTCTAAACGTGTCACCTGACCTTACAACCGAGTAGTATCTTGTGATATTATCAAACTTATTTTCCCCAAATCCAATTGCTCTACGCCGATGTTTGAATGTAATTGTATTCCAGAAAAGAGCACACCTTGTAACTAATAGACTGTTCTTACATATACTCGTGGGTGCCTCCAAGACAAAAAAAAAATCGTGCGCAAGCCGTTTTTAAAAAACACGACCACACGCTGCATAACAATAAATCGATTAAACTGTTATTTCCTCTTGTAAGTCGAAGGAGGCAAGTACAATAAAATGAGCGTTATTTAATTGAGTACTAAACATGGCCTCTGATAAAATGTATTTGCAAAAAGTCATTACAAAGAATCAAACGCCGAAGTGTGTCAGTATTTTTCCCGCAATCCAACTAAGAGAGGGTGTCAGTAGCTCAAAATTCGTTTTCACCCCAACTTTCATATTTTGTAACCCAATATGTCTTAAAAATTGTGGTGCAACATTTTTTGTGAAAATATATTTCAGTTTTCGAGAAAAGACTTTTCTCGTTCGATCGCTAAAATATGTAAATTTTTACCGTAAATATTACCCGAGTTGTGTGACCTCGTGTCATGAATTAACTTGACCTCCAGTATTTCTGTCAAAATAATCCTTTATTTTATCATCTAAACTTAATCCCATGTCATTGCTGAAGCTGGCAAAGGAATATTTATTTTTTGGTAAATACTTTTGTACGACATACTTTTCCCATGTCGAAAAGTAGCATAACAAAATCTACTGAGCTTCTAGCTTTAAAAAGACAAAAGGATGGTTATAAAGTCACTGTAAATATTTAATTGTGTATGTGTGTTGTTCCATGTTGAGACGAACTCAAAGTCCGGCAAAATTTACTTGCCAGCGACTATGAAATATACATGGTGTGCCTACTTGTCGCCACCGTTTACTGTCATAAATTACTACAGTAACATTATAACCATCCTATTGTCTTTTAAAAGCTTGAAGCTCAGTAGATTCTGCTTTTTCTAAATAACTCGACGGCTCGAATGTTACATTTACTATTATTATTTTTTTCCTGTTTTGCTTTTGTTTTAAATGGCTTGTTCTGGTAATAAACTTTAATTTATTGAAAAAATTCGCCGATGCAAAGTCATTTACAACGAGATTCAGAGAAAGTTTTTGTTACAACATTTTTGTTTTGGGCTACTTTCCTATTCCCTTTTACATCATATCTTACACTTTTTTGTTCATAAAACTTTCTTTACATTTATGAACGAAAGAATCCTCTCTATAAAAACAAAGCAATTTATCTGGTTCAATGTTCTACACATTTCTAATTTCCTAAATATTCCAGCCACCCCTCAGAAACTTTAAAAATATTTTACACCCAAGAGGCTTGGAAAAAGGACACAATGAAAACAAACCTAATTTAAGCGCTCGAAAATGAGGGATATCAGCCCGGAGGAAAACCTTTTTCCCCATTGCCTGGTTTTGTTTCCCATTACAAGCATTATCGGAGTTATTATTTGTGACCCTCTACGATTTCAGGGAATAAGGTGAACGCACGCACACGGCACGTTATAACACGCTCCCGCGCCAATAGCATGACAGGCTTACCGTGCAGATGTGCGCATAAAAACAATTGACTCTGGAAAGCGTGTTGGTAGCCATTTATCATATCTAGCCAGCGCGGTAGAGCTTTGAATCTATAACTCGCCAGATTTCTCTTTTTTTTAACCCGCTAAGTTCCTTTGTTTCCTTAACACGTTACCGTATCTTTTCCAACCCAGCTCAATTTGTCACTTGTGTTTGTCAAGTATGTTACTAACAGAATATAAGCGAAAATAAAGATCTCCTGTCCTATTAGAAAGTTGTAATAAAAAAGGAAACACTCACGACAAATCACTTTCCCTCAGGATTTTCACGAGGAATTCAGTGAGCACGACGTGTTTCACAAGGTCCAGAGGAATTACGAATGAATGAATTACTGTTTTAAAAGTTAATCCTTACCGCGTAAAATATAAATCCTTATCGCTTTACGCAGTTAATAAGCCCTATCAATCCTTTAGCAACAGATTACCGGTTCTATGTCCCCTTAACGACGCTATTGCTGTTTGTCACTCTATGCAAGTCGGCATTTTTAAAATAATTAACCACTAGTTAGCCAGCGCAAAACGAGGCTTTCCGAGCGAAGCCGCGTATTATTCATTATTATATACATACCGAGATTTACGCGCCAAAATTCATCGAGACAAAAATAGTTTCTTCGTGCTAGAGACGCCAGCTGATTGGTCATACGATTATCATTATTTTCACTAGTGAAAAAAACCGTGTCGCTTGCTCGCCGCTCCTCTTGACCGTCAAATTGCACATTCTAAGAGCTTAGGCGCATTTTTTTTTAAGAAAGATGGCTTCGATAAGACTAACCGTTTTCAGAGCCTAGATTTATCAAAAGAAGAGTTCATAGATGGACAGAAAATGAAAACACTAAGAAAAAGACTAAACAGTGTGTTGCTCTGTCCCATGAATTTCTTGTTCTGAAAGGCAAGATGAGGCAATTGAACGAATGACCCCTCAAGCGCTGAACAAGTTTAGTTCCTTCTAACGGTTCGCAAAAAAGAAGACAACAAGGAATACGAGCCTAGTTCCTTAAGAGCATTCTTCGCTAGATTTTACCGCCATTTGAAGAAAAAAAACTACGCACTTTGCCTTATGAAAGACGAAAAACACCAAAAAAAAAAACACGATGTTGCTCGGTTCCCTGAATTTCTTGTTTTGAAAGGCAAGACGAGACGAATGGACGAATGACTCCTCAAGCGCTGAACAAGTTTCTCAGCGAGTTCCTTATAACGGTTCGCAAAAAAGAACACAACGAGGAATACAAGCCTAATTCCCTAAGGACTTTCTTCGCCAGTTTTCAGCGCCATTCGAAGAAAAAATAAACTATGGACTTTGCCTTATGAAAAACGTCCAGTTCGAGCAAACTCGGAAAGCGCTTCAATCAAAGCAAAGGGATCTAAAACGGAAAGGTATGGGCAACAAGCCTAATGCTTCTGCTTTAAGTGAGGAAGATATTCAAGTTCTGTTTGAGAAGGATCTCTTGAGAAGTTCCACGGCGGAAGCGCTTTTAAACACGGTATTGTTCAACAACATAATCCATTTCGGGTTACTAGGCTGCAAGGAGCACAGACAAATGTGTTGGGGAGACGTAAAACTTTGTCGAAACTTCCACCGGGCAGGAGTACCTCGAATTCAATGAAAGAGAAACCAAAACTCGTTCAAGAAACGATCCACGGAATGTAAGAGCCATTGCACTGAAAATGTTTGCTGTGCCGAACAACCAGAAATGTCCAGTAAATGCTTACAAAGTCTACGCAGAAAGCGACCCGTGGAAATGAAAACTGACGATGCACCGTTTTACTTTGGCAGTAAATAATGTAAAATCTTGAAACAACGACGTGCTGCCAACTGATATTATGCAACTGTCAGGACACAAAAACGTTCAAAGTATCAGTCGGTACTCGACCGTCTCACAGAAACAACAGTTGAATATGAGTCCCACTCTCACTGGAATGAGTTCGGGAGAAATAGCTCCCCAGTCTGGCTCTTCTATTCCGGAGAAAAGAAAGCATGAGTTTGACGAACTCACTTATCCAACATTCCGCCCGACTTTTTCTCAGCAAAGCAAGCAAGCAGCACAGCAGACCCTTTCTCTTTTTTGGGGTGCTATTATAAGCGAAGGACATATAGGTGTGGCAATAAACACTATAAATCAATCGCCCACACTTTCAGTGTGAGAGGAAAACCCTAGCAAAACTTATAAAAGAATCAAACTACTTGATTCGGATTCTTTCTAGTGTTTGTCGATTTAAGCATGCGGGTTCTGATAAGCGACAAAAAATGAAGTCTTGGGTTTTTCGACATATTTTCAGGATGTCTTATTTTATTCTAACTAGCTCTACCTTTTAACGGCATTTTTGCTCGATGATATAAATAAACGTATTTTACAAGGAAGCCATTTCAGTGCAACTCTCGAACTGTGAGACGGCTTGACCGCGCGTTGTTTTCCTTTGAAAGAAAATAAAGGTATGTTTATCTTTGAGTTCTGCTCGCTTATGAATCCAGGTACGTATATAATAAATAAGTTATTTTACGGTTAGTTCACTTGTGCGAATTTTATTCACTCGTTGTGAATAAAGATTGTACGCGCTCATCAACCGTGAAACAACCTATACTTGTACGCTGATCTTGGCATCTTACGAGCTCTTCGTCTTTAGCACTGCGGTATATACCTTGCGCAACGCAAACTTAACTCGAGGATAATTAAAATTAACATGGTCGAAGGTACTAACGAGTATTTTTTAGCTAGCAAACTCAGCGAACTTAAATTTTCAAACTCCTCTGGACCCTGCGCGTGTATTCACTTGCTTTTGGTTTCCATAGTTAGGTCATTTACACTACAACATGTTTACACGCGCAAAGGAACAAGCAAACGCTTCGTATTCGTTTATTATCAAGTTTCAAAATGTGTTTAAAAATTCTTAAAGCTCTCATACTTTCGAACCGGTGGAAAAGATTTAGATACCCTGGCGGAAGATTATTTTTGGCGCCAGACCAGTAGAAGAGGAAGATAATCAACTGGACGACTACGGTTCTGACAGCAGCGATGAAACTAATCAGGAATTCGACTCAGATGATCACTTTGACTTTTCAAATTGTGATACATCTGCGCAATCGAAAGTGCTGGCATTTGCGGCCAAAACATGTGGATGTCCACTTGGAGATAACGGAGATCCATGCAGCTCTACTACCAAAATTGAAGTCATCTTCGATTGCCGAAACAACCTTGCGGTACTTTCCTCGACTGAACTCAATGTCTCAACAACATCTCGTCTTTGGAAAGGCTACTAAGGTGCGTAGAGACTAGCAAAGCGAGCGTTCAGTGCCACATTAGTCATTCCACCGTCTACGGCTAATGCATCATTACAAAACGACCACTACGACGTGACTACCGAGCTCCGAAAGCAGATATTGAACCTAACAGGAATACTTAAGCAGTTGACAGTACTGAAGTGTCCCCATCAGCATGAGCCGGAGCCTGCTTCTTTGCCGTTACTTGATGATGATTCGGACTTCCCAACATTGGATTCCGAAGCAGTCGCATCTCTGGTGAGTTTCAATAGCAGCCCCACTGTCCAGACTTACCAAGAAACAGCCACATCCAGTAAAGAACCCACTGAGTCTTAGCGTTCCGTCCTGCGCACACTCCGTCAAATCCACCAAGAAAGCCTGTCGCCCGTGTTTCCTGCCCAGATGGCCTCAACAAGATCACCTCTGCAGCCTGTTGACCACAACTTCACCCGTTAGTGTCACGCAGCCACGATCCAACGGATGCGCAGCGAACCAAAGTAACTACAATTGTAACGAAGGGAACTGATATGTGTACTGCCGCCCTTTCTTCTGTTGATGTTCTCTTCACGGACGACGAGATGGCAAGGTGCAACACGTCGGGAACTGAAAGGTTACCACGGTTTGGACAGCGGGAAATTAGGCTTTCTTGTGTCCGTTTTACAAAGAAAGTTTGACTCGCCATTTTTAGTGGGCAATGGAATCAGATAGTCGCTCGCATTAATACGAAATGTAGAGGAAAGAGGAGGACTCTTATTCACAGACTTAAGAAAACTAATTTGTTTTGAAAACACAAAGATGGCACAATTAGTCTATCATTTCACACAAAAAAAATATGGGTCGGTGGATTGAACAGAGTTAGCCATTGTTCAACAAAGCTGCCTTCTAAGTGATTTCAAATGTGGCTAATCTTAGCATATAAACTTTACTAATTATGGGGAACCTAAAGAAGGCATGAAACGCAGACAAGAAAATAATCTATCTGCCCAGAATAATGCATTAACAAACAGGTTAGGTGACGACAGTCAAAGGAATAAAGTTTGGCAAATAGATTGTTAGTTAATAAAAAAAAAGGAGTATATTAGATATTTCATGATTTTGTTCACTCCTTCAGTTTTTACAGTAACCTTCTAACCATGCTTTTGTCTTTTAAATCTGGAAGCTCAGTAGATTCTGTCATATCGGTTATTGTTAAAACTGTCTTTGTTTTGATGCTACTTTTCGACATGGGAAAAGTATGTCGGACAAAAAGTATTAACCAAAACCTAAATATTTCTTTGCCTCAGTAATGACAGGGGATTAAGTTTAGATGATAAAACAATTACAAACGATTATGTTGACAGAAATACCGGAGGTCAAGTAAATTCGTTACATGAGGTCACACAACTCGGGCAATATTCATGGTGAAAATTTGCATATTTGAGCGGTCAAACTAAAAAATTATTTCTCAAAACCTAAAATATATTTTAAAAAAAACCTACACCACAATTATAAGGACATATTGGGCTACCAAACATGAAAGTAGGAGTGAAATAAAATTCTGGGCGACTTGCCGCTGTTTGTCTGATGCACGTTGACATTAGCTCTTAATTTTCTTTAAATTGAGCTGCCGAGTTCAAGCACCGAAACATTTGCAAACCAGATGCGTTCCGAGGCTGTCGATAGAATATTTGCGGCAAAAAAAAAAAAAAAAAAAGGCCAACATCGTTTTTTTTCCTTCATTGTTCTAGCAACGTTCGCACCAAATCTCGCAGATTCCGTCAATTCTATATTTAAATGGAAGAGAGCTTTTTCTGTGTTTATATATTCTCATTTAAACACGAAGGGAAGCTGGGAGGATTCAAGAAAGTTATGCAAACGTAAGACACAATTAAGGGTTTTCATAGCTTTAGAAAGTAACAAAAAAAATTCTTGCCAATTCAAGTTCTTGTTTATTTTCAGTAACGAACTTATCCAAGATTTAGAATCAAGCGCGAGCGGACGAACTCCCTTTTCCTAGCATGGAAGATGTAACCCTCCAGTGGCTACCCAACCTTCCTCCCCGTCACTTCCTTCCACACTAATCCTCGGAGGCTAGTTAGTCTGAGAACTAACGTACTTAGTGGATACATCATAAAGTTTGTCTGATTGATGACTAAAAAGCTTAGCCTTAGCTACTGATATTTTTAAAACAATAATACACTTTGTGACTTTGGTGAATATGTCTGGTCTTTGCAATGTTGTAAAGTGGAAACAACATGATATTTGAGTTTCTTAAATGGGTTTTTCCTTACCATCATAAAATGAGGGAAAAATACAAACAATAGTTTATGCAAAGAGCATTTGAAATAGCTCAGACAATTTTCGTAATTTTGCCCTTTTCGTGATTGAATTCGCAAATTTCAATCACAAGTTCCCTGTGATGTATGTAGCGAAAGATTTTTCCTGAACCGAGCGATTTGAAAAAAATTTCTTGTTCAACTGTTGGTTCGGCCTTATCAAAAGCGATAGTCCATAAAAAAGAAGCCAGATCGAAAATATGCGGACAGACTGGCCCACTGATTTGGCTTAAATTTTGCACGTAAACTTAGTTAGGGGTTTTGATCATGAAAGAGATATTTTAAGATTGAAAATCATGGCTCAAGGCCATTTGGAGACCCTGAAGAACATGGAAACGAGGCTGGGCTTTGCTTTCTCATTTTTGTGTCTTTTTTATTATTATCATTATTATTTCTATCATAAAACAAATATGCAATTCTTCCTCTTTGGTTTGAATAGTAAATTTCGCAGATATAAAAAAAATTTTTTAGTTTCTAAAACAAGAGCTATCGGAGGTTATTTGCTACAGTGAGTTCAGAGCAGGGCAACTTCAATTCGCTGCCACATCTCTCAGTAGAATATGCCGATAAGGTTTCTGGAGATTTAAGTCGCACCAAGCGGAGCGGTGCATTTCGGTTAAAAAAATTGATCTCTTTAAAACTATTCCCATGAATCGGTCTTATATAAGTATACGAAGCAACCTTGATTTCCCGAAATAATGAAAAATAAATTGTTCCTGTGCGAAAATCGGTTCTACGCTCGAAGGCCTATTTTTTTGATAGTATTCACCACCATAAATGGCTTGTTTTTTCACAAAATTCTTGTTTGAAGAACTTCTTCGCTTCGCATATTTAGATCGATCATTTATGAGAACAAATTACGTAATTTTTTTTATTTTTCAATGGTTTTTGACAATGAAAATTTTTTTTTTTCGCTTAACACCTATTTGCCTCTGCTGCCATGACCGTAAACATGTAACTTTCAATCTTGCCTCTGCTTAAAATTCCAACTTGTTCCAGATGACATTTTTATTCAGAATAACTAAAATAAGAGAGAGGAGTATGTAAATTCAAAAATATATTGTGATTTCGGTTTAATTTTTTTAAGCAGAGCGGGCTCATTTTCGAAAATTACAAACAACACTGCACAAAGAGCGGACTCAACTATATATCAAATTTACGTATACAACTTATGGTTGACGCCTGAATTGAGCACTTTGAAGCTTCTTTATGCTTCTTGATGCCATAAATCAGCATTTAGAAGACAAAATTCTCAATCCCATCCGCCGAAAGTTGACTCTTCGCCCTAAGCGACCTATTGTTTTCAGTATTGAAATAAAACATGCAGGAGATGCCACTTTCGATTTAAATCTTCTGTAAGAGCATGCTCCTAGATTCATTACTTTGGACGGCCTTCGGCGCTCGGGTTATCTTCTCGTGCGATCACCTTAAAAATCTCACGCTACACCTGGAGGATGTCAACTTGTCGAAGAAATCGGAATAAACTTACAATTAGATGAACAATAACGTACAATAATACCCACCAGCGCTACGTTCAAAAATAGAAACGTATGAACAATTCATCGACGGAG